ATAGTGGATCTCAACACATACACTGATAGAACCTATGTACTTACATCATACTATCTTATAATATCAAAACATATACATTATTTATAAAAGTACCTATGAAGTAAAAAATTTATTATATGTATATGTTTATAAAATTGTGTAAGTTGTAGGATGTGGGTATTCGCTTTGTGGTCGCAATACATTTTGAACTTGTAAAAACCTGAGAGTCGCAGTCTCAGAGCTTCGCTACCTTGCACTGACTTGTTCAATTCGTCACTCTATAAATACGAATGTGGGACAAATACGTTTATTCGTTTCCTGAATCTTGAAAAGGAAAGTGCTAAGAAAATATTTAAAAAAATATAAATAGATAGTATATCACACAAATTATAGCGAGTCAGTGTTATTTTGTTTGAGAGTGCTGGAGAAAAGTAAGTACATTATTTTTTATTAAATTTTAGTTTTGTACTCGTAGTTAGCAAAGATAGATAAATTACGCCAATCATGACTTTAGTTATTAGTAGTTAAATATTCAACCATGCAAAATTACACGAGTACTCCTCAATAGTTTCTTTTTGAAAGTTTTAGCAATCGGTAATATAATTACAGTGCAATCTCCGTAATTCGAGCTAAATGTTGCAAGAAAATGTTCGAATTATGGAATGTTTTCGGAAAAATCAAAAAATATTTTTAATATACAGCTGATGGATTTTCTGTCTTATTTAAATAATTTAATTTTGCCCAAAGATGACTGATGCCATGTCCGAATCTAAAAAGAAATGTAGACAGTACAGTGTTGATTATTTGAAATTTGGCTTCATTCCATCATTGCCGGACAAACAATCGCCTATGTGCCTTTTATCCAACAAAGTTTTGGGCAATGACGCTATGAAACCATCTAAACTGCAAGATCATCAGAGAAGATGCCACCCTGATAAAACAGAGAAAGATTTGAAATACTGTCAAACACTCAAAGATAAATTTCAGAAGAGACCTACACTGGACAGAATGTTTGCTTCGACGTCACAAACAAATGATGGTTTGCAGGCGTCTTACAATATCTCGTTACTTATACCAAAATCCGGAAAACCGCATACTATCGGAGAGAAGTTAATTTTGCCAGCCGTTGAAGAGGTTTTAAAAACTGTTTTACACAAACCTGCATCAGATATTAAAAGAATTCCCTTAAGCAACAATACTGTTGAAAGACGTATTGATGAAATGAGTTCTGATATTGAAAGCTTCTTATGTAATTATTTGCAAACGACCCATTTCTCTATACAACTGGACGAGTCAACTTTACCTGATAATGCAGCATTATTATTGGCATATGTTCGTTTTATTATGAATCAAGAAATCTACGAAGAACTGCTCTTCGCAAGAACTTTGATAACCGACACTAAAGGTGAATCAATATTTCATGTTTTGAAGGATTACTTCATTGAAAAAGCAATACCTTTATCAGATATAATATAAGTAGCTACAGATGGAGCACCTGCCATGGTTGGACGTTATCGTGGATTTATAAGCTATTTAAAACAAAATGTGTCAGAGGTGTTAACAATACATTGCGTCATCCATCGACAACATTTAGTTGCTAAAAATTTGAGTGTTAGATTGCATGAATCACTTCAGTTAGTCATTGATGCAGTAAACCGAATCCGAAGCAACGCGTTGAATACGTGGTTATTTGCGCAGTTGTGTGAAGAAAATGACGAACACTTTCATCAATTACTCCTTCACACTGAAGTAGCTGGCTGTCGAAAGGCTTATGTTTGACAAGATTTTTTGCACTTTTTGAAACTATTTTAGAATGTCTGGATACTAAAGATAAAATTTTAAAAGAAAATTTAATGAAGAGGAAAACAGCCTATTTAACAGATTTGTTTACAAAATTTAATATGGTTAATTTGCAATTACAAGGCGACAGTTTAAATTTGATTAAAACAAAGTCCATCTCATTAGCGTTTCTTGTCAGAGTTAAACTAATGAAGCAAAATATTGGACGGGGCGAATTTTCTCAGTTCCCCAATTTGTCACAGACAAGCTGCCCGGAAGACGACGTTTCAACTTACGTTCAACATTTAAATGCCCTCTATTCAGATTTTGAATCTAGGTTTGAGGATATTTTGACTATGGTAATACCACCGTGGATAATTAATCCATATGGTGACATAGAAGAAACGAATGTCATAATACAAGAGGAACTGACTGAACTAAGTACAAACGAAGAACTTAAGGTTCAGTTTAAAAACGGATATCAGCAATTCTGGCTGCAAAACAACATACCCGTTACTTATCCCGTATTATGGAATATAGCGTGGAAATTTTTAATTTCCTTTCCATCGTCATACCTAGTCGAAAGGGGGTTCAGCGCTGTTACCAATCTCCTAACGAAAAAAAGAAACAGACTGGACATCATTAGCCAAGGAGATTTAAGATTAACCCTTACAAAATTGACGCCAAATGTTGATAATTTATTATTAAAGCATCAGGTTCATCCTTCTCACTAAAAATATTGACTTATTGCTTATGTTATTTTATTTATAGTTTATTTTATGTTTATTGGTGTCTGAGCAATAAATGAACGCATTGGGAATAAGTGCCCGCATTGATTTTTTTAAAGAACCCCCCTTTATAGAAAATATTTTTTAAGTTATTCTGAAAATTCAAGGATAGGTACACAATAAAATTCCTTAATTTTTTGCCTATTTTTAGATAACTTAAACGTATAAGAAGCGGAATTTAATCAAACTAACAGTGAACTTATTGTAGAACATACGTTTATGTTATAATTAATAAACGAACTCGCTTATTGTACTATTTTAAGTAAAAAACTTTTTTTTTATTATTTTTCACTTTTTTTTATTTTATCCCTCTTATTTTTTTTCAATGCGTGCACTTATTCCCAATGCGGGCACTTATTGGTCAGATACCTGTTTATTTAATGTTACGTATATTTTATGTAACAGATACAAAATTTTATTTCGAGTAGTTTTAATTTAAATTCAATTAATAAATGTATAAATTAACATGTGTTTTTACTTTAAGTTTTTAACACTAAGCTTCACTACAGTTAGAAATTTACAGGAAATCAATATCAGGTAAGTAGGGGGTCTACTCTACACGGAAAAACATGGCAAGGGGCAAGGGGTCTACGACACAAAAAGGTTTGGGGAACTCTGGGCTAGATTGAACGACACTTTGTGGCAGGAGACACAAATGTTTGCAATAATTAGGGTGGGTGGGTTTCAACATGTTTTTTTTTCTTCGTACGTGTATACTGTGCTGTTTGGATATAGCTCTACAAATCAGGTATCTACAATTGCCTCGTGTATTGATAATGAGTTAGGCACACTGCTCATGGAGTATCTCACCCTAGCGACCAATGAATTTGGACTAGGTAAAAGTAGCATGCAGGCGACTTGTTTGGAACCAAAACTCCGCAATCAGTAGTTAGGAGGGAAGTGCAAATTAGAAGTCAATCAGACTTCAGTCCTCAGTTTGACAGTGCTTGACACTGCGCATCAGGGTATTAATAATCTGTGGTTTGCATTAAATTCGTATTTTTCTGCGAAAACATAAACGCTCGTGGATTTCTTAACAATTCCAGACAATTGCCGGAAATGGTCAAGGTTTTCGTGGTTTTTGCAAAAAAGCAGTTTAAACTGAATAAAAGCTGATCTTTTATTGTATTGCTATAGAAAGTATCAACTGGCGTAGGTTTACTAGCCCTTCACGTTTCATGTAGCAGTTGAGATGGTAGATGTGTTAAGCAGCAGATGGAAAGTGTTGAAGTGGAACTATTAACATTGGTTTGAAAACGTTAGTCTGGATCCAAAGTCAGATTTATGCCAGCTAGAATAGTTTACACAGTCTATAGCCGATTCCAAAGACGAGAAACTGTCAGAGGGTTGGGGTTGACGCAGTGGATTTTCACACTTTGACGACGATGATCACATTTTTCCAACTCGAGACGTGTCGGGTTGCCTCACAGAATATACTGAGTGACAAAAAAAACACCATGTTTATTAGAATTCAAGAAATGTTTACATATTGATTTATCTTGCCATGAACAAATGATAAAATGGTCAGGGTTTTTCTGTTAAGTTTTCGTGGGAGGTATGATATGGGGTGCTATTGCTTATGGTAATTTTTATCAGACCCCCGACGCTATATTCAGGAAGTAGTGGAGCCTCATCTTATTCCATACCTAAACACCATCCAAAACCCAGCAAGACAATGCCAGACCGCATGTTGCCAGAGCATCGTTAGCCTTCATGGATGAACATCGCATCAACCGTTTACCTTGGCCCACCATGATCGCCTAACCTATCTCCAATAGAACATGTCTGGGACATGATAGGTCGCAGGCTCTTGAATTTGCAACACCATCCACAGACTTTAGGAGCTCTTACTCAAGAAGTTGCAGTAGCCTGGAATGAGATACCTCAACAGGATATCGACCACCTTATCAGCACGACGCCCAGGCGTGTCAGTGAGTATAAGAAATCGTGAATCCTCAACACATTATTGAACCAGCTTGTCCAGTCGGTTGACGAATCAAGCTGAAAATTTAGTCATTTTACTGGTAAGCGACACTGAACATATATGCCAAAAAATATTAAAATTGGATAAACATGCTTAATTGTGGGGCAGGAGACCAAATACGTCAAGCTGACTCTCATTCGGTTGGAGCGAACAATGTTAACAGCAGAATTTAGCAGCAAATTCACGTGATCTCTGTAACTTTTGTTTTAGTACATCTCGTCACTCTGAAGGCCCTATCGTCAGTCATTCCTACAATTTTAGGAAGCCTTTATGGCTTCCTTGATTTTCATAGTATTTCCTCTCCTTCACTTCAGAAAGACTGGGGTATTTCTAAATGTCTACTGTTCTATGTCAGCGACAGCGCTCTCCCATTGTGAGGCTATGTTTTCTTTTTGAATTGTAAGACATTTCAGGCCAATAGCAGCAAATAGATATTTGTATCAAAACCCCAAAATAGAACGCTGACAAGGAACAGGCACTGGCCGACTTAGGTATTTCCTTGATAACAGTACATGGTTAGAGAGAAAACATCTGGATAGAATCGCAGGCTAGCTAAGAATAATGGATGCCCGCATACCTACAAGGTCGTGTGCATAGTGAAAAAAAACAAATGTCTTGAAATTAATTTAATTTGAATAAAAAACATGAAAATAAGGTTACATTCTTTCATACAAATAGATATATCCAAGATCCTTTGGTGGATTTTCTGAGAGGGCCACTTTACTATCATTGAAGATTACCCAGCGATCTTTCTTCAGAAGGTGGACTACATAATGTCCTACCATTGACGATGTGCCCATGTGGGAAATGAAGCCAACCAATTTGTATTCTGGAAAAAGGCAATTATTTTATCGATTGACATTCTATTTTATATACTCAGTGACACTGACTAGAAGTGTTACACCCAGAAATAATAATTTCTTCAACTTGATTTTTGGCAATGAGGTAGTCTTACATCAAGAATGAAACGATAACATTCTCACAAAATTTTATTGACAATAAGAAAAAAAATAATGTGTTGGGCGACCCCGCAGCTGAATACACTCCTATATACCTCCAGGCATCGACAAAATGAGATTATCGATGTCTGATTGAGGCACCTCATTCCAAGCAACTCGAACTTCGTGGATTAGCTGTAGCAGAGCCTGTGGCGGATGGTGCAAACTGGATAGACTCCTCCCCATCATATCCTACACATGTTCGATGGGATTGAAATCCGGTGAACGGGGTGGCCACATGGGCACGTGGGTTGTCTTACTGAAAAAGGACGTGTGTACGGCCCTCTAGATACGGCAGTAAAGTGGTTTGTAGGACATCATCAACATAACGCGCAGCAGCCATATTGCCTGGAACAAAGAGAAGGGGTGATCGGCTACCATAGGTAATAGCCCCCCGAACCATTACTCCAACAGTTCTGTGTACATGCCTCTCAACAGCAAATCCAATATCACCAGTTGAACTTCTTCGTGCTCCTCTACCTTCTTCTATCCACACACGACACACACGCATTACCGTCATTGCAGTACAATTAACACGGCGGCCAATTTCGCGATATGCAATAATTCTACCCATGTCAAAGTCGCTAACATGGTGATAATTTGGACGTCTTCGAATTCGGGCATTTTGTTATGCTTGAAGGTTGATTCTCACTATACATTCCGTTTCCATTTGAACTACGCATAAGTTGCATATACGAAAATACTGAATATGGAAATGCGACATGAGGTATACTGTGTATACAATCAAATTGTACGGAACGTTTACGAAACTGATATGGAATGGAAATGGAATGTATAGTGAGAATCAACCTTAACACTAGTAAATGAAATAACTAAAAACATCTGTACTACTCAGCTCTCAGAAACTGCTTTCTTCACAAAAACTGAGAGAACATTTTAACAAAGGTAAACAAAAACAAAGATAAAATGTTGACATTGTTGCCACATCATGCTTTAAAAATAGTCATTATGTTGAAGACATTATTTTTTCTGGGTGTAAGACTTCTAATATCATTGAGTATATTTAATTTCAGTTTAATTCATATTGTTATAGCGTTTTCTATTAAAAGTAATTTTAATTTCGACGAATTGACTTTATGCTATACTAATACTAAAAAAATTGTCTGCCTGATTCTGGATCTGAGCTTGATTTCTTAGACCATTCCAATTTATCACGAATTTTCAGTTTAAACGACGATTGTCTTTATTTGGGAACTCAAGTAGGTCTATTATTGAAATGCCTTGAGCTCAAGATATTCTTGATAATCCGAGCTCACATCCAAAGTTATTTAGATATAGCCAAGGTTTTCGTCAATTTTTTTGTCGTTTTTCCTCCAACAATGTTTCAACTGTTACTTACTTCCGTCTCCATCTCTGAACTCTGGGGGTGGCGGTGATGCAACTGAAGAGCTCTCCAGTTCATCTTGATGTGAGAAAATCCAATCCATAGCTCTTTCAACATTATTATCTGTCGCTTTCAATGCCTTTGTAGCCTGTAATAGAATTAAATTTCTAGACATTATTGGAAATCTTAAAAACAACCTCAGGATGCTCACGTTCCTGTTATGTGTAGAATGTCCTTAAAGGCAGACCTACGTTTTGTGTACTATTTATCAATCGCTCAATTACCCAGTATAAGGCCAGTTTTAAGCCGAACGCTGTAATGAAATGTAATCTAACACAAAAAATCGCTAGTGGATTGCTAAAGCGAGCGCCGAACAAAGGGCTCACGACGAGCAAATCATACTCAACTTGACTGTCGGTTTTTTGACGAATCCCTTGGATGGTTACATTACACTACTTCGCCTTTGAGCACAGTCTCTGCAGTCTTCTTATTTTATTAGTTGAGATAGTTATCTAAACACACGTTATTGATTGAGTAGTGCACGGAGAAAACTTTATTTTTTATTGATTTATAGCGTAATAGAGTATACCATGGGATCCGCAACAAGCGGAATACTATAAAAAAATCAATAAACATGATAATAATAATAATAATAATAATAATTTATTTGTCAAATTCAATTATGCAAATATAAATTTTCAAAGACTGTTGCCACAAAGGAGTATCAATGACAAATAAAAGTAATGCCACGAAAGAAAAATCTTGTGTGTGGCCATCCCATTATTGTCAGTTGTCTATCCGCAGATATAAATAAAGTCTATCAAGTACTTGCTAACGCACTATGCACTTCTTACGCACGCACTGACATAATTTGGTGTTACACGATCACTGGTAGAAATGCGAAAACCTTGAACTGACATTGTGGCACTTTAACTAAATTCTATAATAAATAACATAAATCAAAAGGCTAATTTAAAAAAGAGTACATCTAAGATAAAGGACAATAAAAACTAAAATGACATTACAAAACTGGTAGTTGCATTTGTGTTGTGAGCAATAAAGACAAATATATATCAAGCATAGAATAGAATAAAATTAAATGCCCATCATACATGAGATACGGTATAAGCATATAAGTGACTACAATAAAACATAATAAAATCTAATAAAATATAATAACGTACAATAAAATATGATAAAATAATAAATTAATAGAATGCAGCAATTATTCTAAAAACGGTGACTTCATTTGGGTTGTGAGAGTGACATATATAGTGTTTTGCCTTCTATATAATCATGTATTATGCTCCTGGATATACCTTTCACCCAAACTGAGATTTTTTTCTTGAATAAAGGAATGTTTCGTATTAACTTATAATCAGCAGGCATTTCGTTGTACAATTTGGGGCAGAGATAAATCCAGGAGCGTTGCAATAATGACTTTTCCGGCCTAGGTACCATTATGTGCCTAGCAACTTTCTGGCGAGTGTCATATTTGTGAGCGATTTCCTCATGAAATGATTTATTTTTAAAGTAGTATACCATGCAATTATAAATAAAGGTTTGCCTAATGTCCATAATTCCAGACTCATGGTATAGCTCATCAGATGGATGAGTTTTGCTCTTGCTATAAAGAATTTTTAATAAATATTTTTGGGCAATCTCCAAGTTCTTTATGTAAGTGAAGCCAGCTCCTCCCCAGCCAAGTATTCCATAGCAAAGATGTGACTGCACAAGTGCGAAGTATAAGATTCTCATGCAATCTGTATTAAGGATGTTTCTAAGACATTTGAATTTTGGAATGAGGCATCTTATTTTCTTTGTCACATATTCGATTTGAACATCCCATCTGAGATTTTGATCAATATATATTCCCAGATATTTAGTGCTGCTTTGACGTTTAATGGTTGTCGTATAGTTTCCTATTCTGACATTTATTTTGTTATATTGTGGCATATGGTTTCTATAGGATGCGAAAGGTACAAAACTTGTTTTCTCAGAGTTAACTGTGAGTAGCTTAGTGTTGAAATATGCTAGTACGTTGGTGAGATTATTTTCGATTTTATTTTTAAGTGCGGGCCAACTTGAGTCTTCATAAATTATGACAGTATCGTCCGCGAATCCTAACACTGTACCTCCCGAATCCATTGAGAACAAATCATTAATATATATATTAAATAATATTGGCCCAAGAACAGTTCCTTGTGGGATCCCATAGCATACGTCTTTATAATGACTGGTCACGTTATCTATTTTGACACACTGCTTTCTGTTATTTAGGTAGCTCGACATTAAGTCTAAAGTAGTTCCCCTTATACCGCTAAGCTCGAGTATTTCCAACAGCTTGTCATGACTAATGGTGTCGAAAGCTTTGGTTAAGTCTATAAATATGCAAATGGCAGGGATCTTATCGTTAACTAGTCTGTACAGTTTTTTGGATAGTGTAGCTATTGCATCTTGCGTTGATATGCCTTCTTTAAATCCAAATTGATTTTTATGTAACACGTTATACCTATTGAAAAACTTTAGTAACCTTGACTTGATTATTTTTTCTACAACTTTGGCGATACTCGAAATCAGGGATATTGGTCTATAATTTTCTATATCAAGTTTGCTACCTTTTTTGTAGATAGGTGTTATTGTGGCTAACTTTAAAATATCGGGAAATACTCCTGTACGAAAACATTCATTTATTATATATTTTAAAGGCTTGCATATATAATATCGTATTTTTTTCAGAGTTTCAGCTTTTATGTTATCGCTTCCAGGAGCCTTGCCATTTTTCAAGCTTAATATAGTCTCCCTCACTTCGTTTTCATCCGTTTCGTCTAAATAAATTGAGTTGATAAGCTTATTTACTTGTTTGATAGGAGCAGTGCGTGCTATCTTCTCTGCCAGTTTTTCACCAATGCTTGTGAGGTGTTCCAAAAACTTCTGAGCAATATCATTTTTATTGGATATTTCTTCCCCACTTTCGATGGGTGGCAACAGCTCTTCGTTTTTTAAGATACTCATTAATGTCGCACCAACATTTACATCTCTTCCTATAAATAAATGTCTGCCACCACCATCTATTTTTTGTTCTTTATCAGGTTGCAATAGCCCCATTAATATGAACGCAGCACTAGCTACTTCTAGAACTGATATTTTGACATGGACTTTGTAATGTAACGCTCGATGTGAGCATTGCATTGCAGCGCTTGACTTAAGTCAGTCGCCGTCTTTAGAAACAATCGTACTGACCTGGTCTTGTGTAAATCCCATCCCTATAATAGTATTTAACGCATCGGTATTAGGAGTGAATCCAATACTTTCAGTACCAGGTGGGACGAAAGGATCAGAAAAATCCGAGTCTGTAATATGTTCCATCATCCAAGCAGTTGCAGATTCTAAACCAGTGTTTCCAGTGTGGAAAACGGCTCGCTTGCAAGATTCCGGTGGAAAACCTGGAAACAAAATGTGACATTAACGCCCAGAGGCCCGGTGCGGGCAAAAACAAAGCAGGAAAATAGTTGCGTTTGATGAATTAAACATAAGTAATGAAATTAGTTGTTCATCGTAGGGGCAACAATTTCCAATGGGTAGGATAAGCAGGCAGCAGGCAGGCAGTGTCACATACATCACAAACATACTGACATACCTTTGAATGATTAAAAAAATATAAAGTCATTTTTAGGATTTTTTCGCGCTAAATCACGACGCTAGACCTCTGTGCACCGTCTGACAAACCTTAACGGTGTTACCATATTTTAAGGTAGAACTCGCACATCTTCAGTGCTATGCGTTCTGTGCCTCAGATCTTACCCATATTCTCCAACTCCGTTAGCACGGCCTCGTCCATGACAGGCACGGGCGGTTTGACTTCTGGTTCCGGCAACAACTCCTCCTCAGGCTGCGGGCCGTCTCCTCTCAACATAGACACGTCCAGGATATCAGGCATCTCGATAGAGACGTCCAGCTTGATGGGCACCCAATCCTCGCGTAACATGAACTTCTTCAGCTGAATGGCTAAGTAGTCGGGGAATGTGGCTAGTCTTGTCGTCCTAAATGGATAGAACAAATGAATAAGAGGATAAGGCTGCATGTAGCTCGTTTAGAACATAGTTATTAGCAGTCAAGAAACTGTATACTTTATCTAGAAAACTAAATTATGTTCAATGCGCGATGGATTGAATATCAGTGACGGTAACAAACTTACTATGTCTAAGCATAAAACGAGAACATTTGAACGTTCTTTCTAACATTTTTCATATGATGCGATTCCTCCAAAAATAAAAAAATATAACAGCAAATCGTTCAAAGAACACTTCAGAACGTTTCTGTTGACCCGATAAATTTCAGTAAATTTCAGTACTTATTTTTACACCGAAGCAGCCACGCAGGCAGAAACCTAAATTGATAGGTCGTTCCACAATCTCGACACCCTAGGAGCGGTCGTATTGGACAGTTGCATTTCCAGTAGATTCGTAAGATATCTGGAAAAGAAGCGAAAGAACAGGAGCAAGCTCTGCTGCACACCTCTTCAATACAACGGCAGGAGTCAAATCCAAACTCTTTGAATCGACGGCACCCGGCATCTTGGCAAGCACTTACGCCTTACCGTTTGAGTCGGTTACAATCGTTCCATCTTGACTGGTAAGAGGTGGAAGGCTACTCTGTGAGAAGTTCCTCTCAGTCTGCTTGTTCAGTGTCCAGAAAGACCGACTTTCATTACGCTGCGACATTACCCTGTGCCTAACTTTTATATCTTGCTGCTATTTGGAAGGTTCTGTGTGCCTTGATCTTCTGCTGACGAGCAGTGTCACACGATTTGTTAAACCACCCGTTGGACCCTGGTTTAGGCACTTTCACTGTATGAGGGATGTACTCGTATTCCTCCATCCCAACGTGGATAATTTCGGTTATCGATGAATAGACAGCCGACACATTAGCGTCAGGGAAGCAAACATCTTTCCAGGAAAAGGTGATGTCTCTGAGCCCGTCCCAGTCGGCATGTCCGTAATGCCGAATCTTGCGGCCTAGTCGAGTTTCTGCTGCCACAGGGGGTTATGACCTTAACCTAACCTCCACAACACCGTGGTCTGAGTTCCCAGGGAGACAGGACAGTAGTCCTGTAAAAGCCAGGGTGCGTGGTCAGAAAAAGATCCATCAGGCTACTGGCGTGTGACGAAACGCGGGGGAAAAAGTAGGCCTCGTCACCAGCTGGGTCAGTAGTCGTTGGGTAATAGCGAACACCTCAACTGCACGACCTGCTGGATCAGTCTAGTTAGAGCCCAACCAAAGCTCATTATGGGCATTGAAATCACCGAGGGGAACTACCTCTGAAGCGGGATGATTAATGTTCAGGAAGTCAATCTTGACAGCGATGTATTCAAGTAGGTCATCCTAGTTATGGTCTGAGGGGGAGCGATCAAGGCAGCATGTTTGTAACGCATCTCCTCTTTATCATCTGTGACAACTTACTCGTATTTAACTATCATTCAAACTTGGTCAGACATTACTCTTAATAATGTTCTAGCTAACCCATAAACGATTCTCTGGTTGAATATATCTACAATTCACGGACAAATCCGAAATTGAAAAACACTTGAGTTACAAATTGATTGCTTGAAAAAACACCATCAGCAGATCAACTTCCAACTGTAGTTTTTTTACTAAAAATGTAATCGAAATAGGTATTTTTGGAACGGTTTTGGGTTCAACAGAGAAACTTACAAATTGAAATTCGTGAAAGTGTACAAAACTGTTTATCACTGCAGTAATATTGCCTTTCACGCATATACGATTAAAATTATAAAGCTGTACATAAAGACAAGACAGAAAATTTTGATCAGTTCCAATGACATCTGCTCTAAACGTTTCTGACCTAGATGTAATATCGAAGAATAAACAAATATGTTTTTGATAAAATTGCTCTTGATAAACATGGAATAAGGTAAGTTGGAAATATACATGTTCGCTACTTTATTATGAAACTCCCTTATGGATCAACTTAATTGTAGTAAAAGTTGAATTATATCTGTAAAACTTACTTTCTAGCTTGAACATTTCCATTAACAGCTGAACTGTAGAAATTGTTGATGACTTCAGACTGCGTGAAAAGCTCTAGGCAAGAGAAAAGCTTTATTTTCGGTCTGACAATTGCATCAGACTCCAGCCGTTTCCCCTGAGCTTCGGCTTCGGATTTTCTTGCTTCATAAGCGGCCACCTGCTCAAGCAAATGTAAACATTGATAAGACCATAGATTTACCTGGACGTTGTTATCGTCAATCGTATATTCATTCTCAATAAGATATTTAAGTTTAGTATGTCATCCTAATACAACAGATTTTAAACATCTCTCTTTATATTGTCGATATCCATCAGATAATACCACACTCACGTTTGGAATAAACGCAACAAGCAACATTTTGGTCAAATTCGGAACGTCATAACTTATTTTCATTTTCAAACAAACTTTTTTTTGGAATAATTTATTTAAACACAATAATACAAAAAGTATAACCAGTTTTAACAATAATTCCCTAATCAGTGTTTGCAAACACTGGCCCCGAGAATAACAAGACAATAATCAATATCTATGAACTACAGGTACACTGCAATGTTGCTCATAATTTCAACAAATAAATTCATTAACATTTTTACAATCTTTCAATTCTCTAACAAAACTTCTATAGTTATTTGAATCTTTTATACAATGTGGTAAATTATTAAATCTCTTAATTGTGTCTGTGATCGGATTTTTTAAACCTATGTTAGTTCTTGTGGAAATTTGATAAACATTATTTAGTGAACTTGTTTGGTGATCATGCACGTTATGGTAGAACCTAATATTTATGTTACTTTTTAGTAGATTATTTATAATTTTATAAACAAGTTTACATTGTTCCACCTCCAATAACACTCTTAATTTGTTTAAATTTAAATTTGAATAAAGTGTATTAGAACTTGTAAGCCAATCAAAATTAAACAATATTTTCAGAACTTTATTTTGTAAAACTTGAGCTTTATTAAAATTAACTTCACCGCACATACCCCATACTGGCAAGAGGTACCTAAAATGTGTAAGAAAGAAGGCATTATAAATTTGAAATTTGCTTTTGTTGGACAAATAATCTCGACTCTTATATAAGGCAGATAGCATTGAAACTATTTTATCACAAATTCCATTTACGTGAAGTGACCAATTTAAACTTTCATCTATTAGTAATCCCAAATATTTAATACTTGACACTTTCTCTAGCGCTATATTATTTATGTTAATATTTAGATTATTGCTAACTATCTTATTTTTTTGTTTAAATATAATGTATTTTGTTTTTTCAATGTTAATTTTTAATCTATTCGAAAACAGCCATTTAAGATAACTATCATTAATAAGATTCGTTAAAGCAATTTCGTCTGTTCCAGTATATACCAGTACAGTGTCATCTGCAAAGGTAAAATATCTTCCCCTCAGATTGGCCAACTTGAGATTCAGTACATCTCTTCCATTATCAAGAACCGCAATTTCTTTATACATTGTTCTTTTATTCACGTCAATATATACAGCGGCTGGAATTTTAGAAGCAAATAAACATTCTATCAAATTGTACAGAAATCTATTCCCTTTCTGTGTTAGGTTCATATTTTTTCATATCGTGACCGATTCCGTTTATCTACAGTGGCGAAGAAAATAAAAACTTCTAACGTAATTTAAGAACACTATGCATTATAACTTTTTAAAACGCAGGGAGAACAATAACCATATCTCCCCTATCCTCTAATTTTGGGTACATGAAAATTAGAGCGAAGATTGATCTTTTGGAGCAGAATGAATAGAATGCAATAATTCAAAATTTTTAATCAGTATTACATTCTACAAATAGGCGCCTTCTAGTCGTTCTGGCATCCAATGACCGCCTATCGGAAAAATCAATACAATCGAGTTAAAAATAAAAAAGATATGACGTTCCGAATTTGACTGGTGACCCAGTTCTCTACATTTTTAATGTAGCTATGCCAAACTTGAAAGAAAGAAACAAAATTATAAGCAGTGATTCGACGATAAATGTAGTGGCAATTAAAAAGATGAAATACAGATATCCGGCAATTCTGGAATTGGATGAGCAAACATTTAAAATAATTATGAAAGAAGGTTTACTGTCTGTATTGTATTGTACAGTGTTCGAGCATTATGATCTCCTGAGGTGCTTTAACTGCTCGGGATTCCACCATACAGCTAAAAACTGTACAAAGAAGAGTGTTTGCATAAAATGTGGAGAGAGTAGCCATCAGTCTCAAACCTGTAAAACACCAAAAAATGAGGTGAATTGTCCGAACTGCAAGGAATCAAATTTGAGGTATAATACAAATTTTGACACAAACCACTCACCGTTCAACAAAATATGTAGAATAATACAAATGGAATACAAACAAAACAAGCTGTAAGCTATATATACCACTTAAACATTCAAGGATTTTTATCATATAAAGATGAGGTTTCAAATTTCTTGGTGATAGAGAAACCGTTAATACTTTGTTTAACAGAAACACATGTAACAGAAGATATTGAGGAGGGAGAGATCAATATTCACGGCTATCAAGTTGTAAGAGTAAACTCTGTTTCGAAGCATACAGGTGGTACGAGCCCCTTCCCACTTCAGTTGGCCCACTTCAAGATTTGTACCAAAATATGCCTTTATAAACTAAACATGACGAAACTATTTACTTCTAAAACAATTTATTTTCTCAAAAACATTTTAGATACACTTTAGTCGTAAAAAATACATATTTGAAATCACTTAGACCTATAACTAATAGAACATCTGAACAAATAAACAATGTGCGAATAAATGCGCGAAGTTAACAAAGCAACAATTGAAAGATTACCATTGGGTAACATCACCTTTATTTTTTATTACGGCTGAAATTCTTTGGGGTATAGTGTTAACCAAGTTTTGGCAAACATTTGGTGTAAAACAATCCCATATTTCTTGAAGCTTTTCATCTCGTGCCACAAAGTTTCAATAGGTGACAGATCTGGACTGCCAGAAACCTTTCAAAAGTGGTACATGATTTTCTTCCATCCATTTTATAGCCTTTTTTGAGGTATGACACGCTGCACCATCTTGCTGAAACACAAAATCTTGGCCGGATGTCAAACATTCTTCCATCACTGGTAAAAGCGATTCTTCTAAAATTGCAAAATATTTGTTTGTATCCACATTTCCATCAATAAAATGAAGTTTTCCTACTCCTTTTGATGACATACTGCCCCAGACCATAATGGATGCTGGAAATTTCACTTTTCTCTTCAGACAGTCAACATGGAATGCTTCATTTTTTTGCGAATAACTCTACTGCGACTGTCACCAACACAAACTTCGAATCGGGCCTCATCACTCCATTGTATTGCACACCATTGTTGAGGTGTCCATTGTCTATGTTCTTTAGCCCATCTAAGTCGATTTTTCTTTTGCAGTGGAGTTACTAGTGGCTTTTCTTTGGCCTATAAACAAGTTGTGCAACTTTAGGGTTTTTACTTCACTTTTTTTTATAAGAAAACTTACCTTGCAAGTGCTAAATCCCAGTTTGTGGGCCTCTCTATGAGTTGTGGACCTCGAAATTCTCCTTCCAACAGCGTCACTCCACAGAGCACTTAATTGTAAATAATTGGCACGCCTGTTTTTCACGATTATTCTTCTTGATGGTCTTCGGTCCGCATTTGTGATATTACTTTTTTTCACATATCGTGGCTTAATATTAACTGAACCAGTTACGTTATATCTTCTAACAATATTTCTCACACTGTACCGCGATAAGTCTAACAAAGTTGCAATTTCTGAGTTTGATTTCCCAGAATTAAAAAATTTAATTATCAGTAACCCAATTTTCTCACTAATAACCTTTCCTCTACCCATTTTGAAAACCTTAACTACCCGAAACTATTTTAAACGTATTCTGACAGCTGTGATTAATGAAAACAATTGTCATGGCTTTTATTTTTCACAGCCACCTATGCGTTATAGACTTATTTTGCATTGAAATGAAAATAGGTTGATATGCTGTAATTGCAACATGTGTTATTTTTATGCTGCAAATTTGATTAGGGCGTGATAAAGTTGGTGTTTTCTACTATATATTATCAAAATATTCATTGTTAATATTTTAAACCTATAACACCCTGCTACATTTTTATTATTTGTGTATGATAATAAAAAAAACTAAGATTTCAATAGTTGGGCCAACTGAAGTGGAAAGGGGCTCATATATTGATATATACACTATATGGCATTGAAGTCAAAGTACAGAACATTGAAGTCGTTGAATATCAGTGGTGTTACATCAATCTGGAAATAAGGATACAAAAAAATTACAATCTGTATATTTATTATCGATCTCCAAGTGGAAGCGTCAATCGATTTATTGAATTTTTTGAAAGTATATGTGAAAAACATTATCACAGGAATTGCACAAATATACATTTAGGAGACTTCAATATAAATTTTGACAGTAAAGATTTCTATGTTACAAAATTTAAACAAGTACTAAACTTCCATGGATTATGGCAGAAAATAAATATATATTCAAGAACGATTTTTTCGAAAACAAAAATAGATTTGCTCATAACTAATGAACAAAATCTAATTGCTAAAGTTAAGCATACCCCAAAGATAAGTGATCTCTCATGGATATATTTCAAAGTGGAAAATATTTTCAATGAAAATAAAATGAAAGAAATTACAGTCATTGAATTCGTAAAATTACGAGAAACACTTTTACAACACAATATACCTGAAATTATCGATAATGCCGACAACTACTTCGAAGAAATTATGAATAATATGGATAAATATATTAGTGAAGCTATGGTCAAGAAAACAATATATGAAAGAGTGAACCCAACACCCTGGTTTTCACAGATATTCAAGGAGTCGAAATTAAAACGCGATACCGACTACAGAAAATTTTCAATAACCCAAAGTGAAAATGATTTTAAACAATATACAAAATCAAGAAATGAGTGTGTAGCAGTTCTCAGAAGGGAAAAGAAAAAATACTATGATAAGAAGATCGATAGCAATAGAATAATACTACTTATTTTATAGAAAGTGTAAATCAAATAGTGAATACGATTGATGACGGTGATCCAAACTTATGTCCATTACAAGTATGTCAGAATTCATCAATGAAGCAATTTAGGACAATTAACATCAACACTCTAAGAAACGCTATCTCAAAATTGAAATCTAATAAAAATCCAAGTGAGACTCTCTCAAAAAATATTCTAAATGATTGTTTCCATATAATTGAAGTGAAATTATTATTATTGGTGAATCACTGTTTAGTACATGGTGAATTCCCATCATTAAAGTGTTCCACTATTAGTCCTGTACCAAAAGTTCAGAATTCTCAGCTGTATACAAATATGCGGCCGATTAATGTCTTGCCCGATATCGAGAAGCTGTTCGAAGGGATAATATACGAACAAATCATAGAATTCATTGAAGAATTCAAAATTTTGATAAAAGATCAAGCTGGATTTAGAAAAAAATGTTCCGCAGAAACGGCAATCCAAATGGTGGTGGAAGACTGGAAAAGAAGTATAGATGAGAAAGAATATATTGTAACAATATTTTTAGACTTCAAAAGGGCATTTGAGACTATAGATAGGGAAAAATTGGTAATTATATTGCGTCACTATGGCTTTAAAGGATCAGTATTACACATTTTACAAAATTATTTAGTAAATAGAAGACAAAAAACTAAAGTTGGGAATATTATGTCAAGTGTTCAAAATATATCAGTAGGGGTGCCACAGGGGAGTAAATTAGGGCCGTGACATTTTAGAACACTGCAAAATTCAAATATTTGCGGACGATACACTTGTATATATAGCAACTGGAGTGGTTGGATGTGAAAAATTTCATATATTATTTAGTTCTCGTTTTCATATTCAAATTAAAAAATCATTTATTACCATCACATTTAGAGAACTTCACAAAATTAAATAGTCATTATCATAACTACGAAACTGCAGGCAGTTTAGATTTTCATTTGCAAAATTGTAATAGTAGCATAACTAGTAAATCTATATTTCAAAAGAGAGTATTTGAATTTAATAAACTGAATAATGATATTAAGCAGAGTTCGAATTTAAAAATGGTTAAGGTTAAATTAAAGAGTCACTTTATGAATAATCAAAATGCATAGTGACGTAATTTTAATTTTAATAGACAAAAATATGTAACCAAATCATTATACAAAATTGACATTGTAGCATTAATGCTAAATAAATCTTCAACAACAACAACCAAAATTATGCTTGTTGGGTTTATTTTGAATCCGAGTGTACAGTAAATGAATCTAGTAATTCTACATGTCTAAACTAAACAAACCTCCTCCTTATTTACAGCAGCATCCATTGGTATCAAGAGTGGCAGAATGACTTCAGGCCTGGTTAAATACTTCACCTTTTTACTGGTACCTATAAAAGACTACACTTTCGATATGGGGCAATTGAGTAGGTATGTAAAAAAGCATGTCAAATAATCTGTTTTTTTAACTGCAATGTATAAAAAAAGAAACGTGAAAAGGATGAGAGATTAATAAAGCAAATATTGAGCAAAAAATTATGCCATTTAAGAGACACCAACCTTCTTAAAGTATACAAGGTCTGTAAATTAATTGATGGGTCTGATTTTACATTTTTTTATTCAAACATAATTACAATTTTATATTGTCACCCTCAAAAAATTTTCTTCTGAAACCTCACAGCGCTGGAGACGGTTCTTCCACTCCTCATAGCAGTGCTGGAACTCTGATACTGGAATAGACTTCAGCTAGTTGGTTACAGCCGTTTGAGTGTTTTCAACTGTCCCAAGAGTTCACTTGAGGTAATTTTTCAACTTCGGAAACAGAAAACAGTCTACAATGACTTAAGTCAGGTGACTAAGGAGGCTAAGGAGCCACATGAATGTTTTTACTGGCCAAAAACTCATTTATTGACATTGCTGTATGACAAGTAGCATTATCGTAAGGCAACATCCAGTTGTTCTTGATCTGGTGAATGGTGAACGGTGGTGCGAGTGAAATTTGACTTTTCCCCGATCATTCTGACTGTCAAACGACGATCGGAACACACAAGAACTCTGATTCTGTCGATATTTTCATCAGTTCTTGGAGATGAAGGCTTTCCGCTTCGTAATTCATCTTCAATCGACTCTCTCCCTTCTGAAAATCCCTTCAACCACCGAAAAACCTGTCTCCGTATACCTGTTTAGTAAGAGCTTCCGTTGTACTGTGAACAAGTCCGAAGCAAAACCTGGTGCTCGACACTGAGGCGGGCATTCATTGTGAGAACACGATTATCATCAAAAAAGCGCTACGGACAATCAAATGACCCTAACAAGTTCAGACTTGTACTGAAGGCAAATCACATGTGCTCCTGTCTCCCCTTCAAGCCGGGCACTTCCAGTTTTGCCAGATCGAAAGCTACGCGGCCAGTCTCATCACTTAATTTACAGACCTCATATATACCAATTAGAGAAACATCTAACAAATTTTCATAGATGACGCTACGGTATCTCATTTTATCTCTGATAACATTTTTGACGCGGGAATACAGCTTTAGATTTTCCATCTTCAGATAGAATACGTTAATCAATGGCACAAATAACATGAAGAAACACAAAAACGGAATATGTAACCAGTACATATTGCATCACATACTCAAAATATCTGATATAAAAAATGGATCTGGTGGGCTGAGAAATTGTAAAGTACTGTAGTATTCATAGGGAGCTACTTTCAATTTTTGTAATGAACGGTTCACGAGATACAAACTTCATCAGTGTACTAACTTTTTATACTTACCACACTGGAATCGCTCTTCGATCTTAAACTTGAAGCACTCGCCTGGATTTATTTGAGTCTTGTTGTTACGCTCAAGTAGCGTTAGCAAGTGCAGCATAAATTCCTGAACGTCCTGCTGTTTTTTGGTAGAAAACTCAGGGTGACCTTTACCCACTAGGGTTTTGAACATTTGAGGGCAAATGCCCGGTGGTCCTTCATTCGATTCTGGAGGTGGAGGTTGGGAGTATTTGCCAGATAGAAGGCCATGGCCCAGTTTTGCCCTGAAATTAACAATCATTAAGCTTTTTGCATAAAAATATATAGGACGTTGCCTGAAACATGATGGGGTAATTATTTGGTCTATTTTATTATTTCTCTGCTAATAAGTAAAATGCACCTATATTTTGCAGATGATTTAAAAATACTCTGTGTAATAAAAAATGTCAATGGTTGTATTGTACTGCAACAAGATCTAAATAGCTGTTGCCACTGCTGTGAGAGCAACAAACTCTAGATAAACATAAGCAAATGTAAAAATATTAAGCTTTTACCATATGGTCAACCCCATTCATTTTTCTTATCATATCAACAACACTAAAATTGAAAAATGTCAGTCCTTCAATGACTTAGGGGTAATTTCTGAACACATAAGTAAAATCGTTGCAAATAAGGTATTGGGATATTGTATTAGAAATTCTTTGAGATTTGCAGATATAAGGAGTCTCAAAACAGTATATACCTCTTTTATAAGAACGAAACAACTAGGCTACAGTATGCCTCATTGATCTTGTCACCATTGTATCAAAATGCAACGTCAGCGATAGAATCAGTTCAACGCAAGAGCTTAAAATATATGCACTTTAAAATTTATGGATACTACCCTGAAAGGCGGTTTCCACACAACTCTCTACTTAAATTTTTCAATTATGACACTTTAGCATACCGTCGTCATATTAATGAAGTTACAGTCCTGTACAATTTAATAAATAATAAGTTGGACTGCCCAGACTTACTATACCCACACCACACCATAATTATGTCTAAGATTGACCAGAATTACATCAAGAGCATCACAATAAATATCATAGCCCATGCTAAATTTATTAAAATAAGTGCACATTCTATTTATAGGTGCCATATCTGAGATATTTGTTGTGTTATTTGGGTTGTAAAAAGTTACAGTGTAGCGTGTAACTCTCTCAGGTACTGCAAAATTAACATTAAATATACTAAGTGACATATAAATCCGAACACCCAGTTTAAATGGTTTTATTTTAATAAAAGTTGGTGAATGTATTTATCTTACTGTAAATAACAAGTGAAAAAATGTTCAGCCTTATCAATTGGACATTCCGGTTTTTATACTGCTTTTTTTTAATTCACTAACGCTCTAAAAATGAATATTTCAGCCGCACTAAAGAATCAACGTTGGCGGATTTTGGTTCTTGACTTCCTTTACGATCGGTTACGATGCCTAGAGTACGGAGACCTGTACGATTTCGTCAACTTGTGAGTGAGTTTGATAGGGGCCGTATAGTGGGACTTCGGGCAGCTGGACTTTCTTTTCGGGCAATTGCAGTTAGAGTGCACTGTGGTTAGGTGTAGTCAGGCATGGCTTCGAGAAGGCCGTACGCAAAGAGTAAGGGGCACTGGACGCCGCCGTAGAACAACAGACCGTGGAGATCGCCGCCTAAGATTATTGGCCTTAAGGGACCGTTTCTCCACTGCCAGGTCCATTGCAAATGAATGGTTTGCAGAACACGGAAGACCTATTGGCATGCGAAGTGTTTACCGACGAATGACAAGTGTTGGCTTGTTTTCATACCGGCCACACTGGGTCCTCCTTTAACTCGAGAACACCGACGTAATCGCCTTGAGTGGTGCAGACAACGGTCACTCTGGGATCAGGAATGGAACAGTATTGTCTTTAGTAACGAGTCTCGAATTTGTTTAGGCATGCACGATGGTCGTGCCAGGGTTAGAAGGCGACGTGGTGAAAGCAGGAATCCACAGTTTTTTGTTGAAAGACATGTTCATCACACTGTTGGAGTTATGGTTTGGGGTGCTATAGCTTATGGTTCCAGGTCACCTTTAATCTTCATCAGAGGTAACATGAACTTTCCAACAAGATAATGCCCGACCACATGTTGCAAGAGTCACAATAGACTTCTTTCAACATAATGATGTCACATTGTTACCATGGCCACCAAGATCTCCCGACTTATCCCCAATTGAGCACGTGTGGGATATGATGGGTAGGAGATTGCTCAATTTGCAACGTCCTCCTCAGACTCTAGAAGCACTTCGAGAGGAGTTGGTGGTTGCCTGGAATGAGATACCACAGGAGGACATTGACCAGCTGATCAGAAGCATGCCTAGGCGCGTTGGAGAATGCGTAGCACATCAGGGTGCATCCACACATTATTAAAGCAGTGCAATCATTTTGAAATTTTTATCATTTACTTATTATGCTTCATTAAGTACTTATACAAAATTTTATTAAAATAAAACCATTTAAACTGGGTGTTCGGATTTATATGTCACTTAGTATATTTAATGTTAATTTTGCAGTACCTGAGAGAGTTACACGCTACACTGTAACTTTTTACAACCCAAATAACACAACAAATATCTTAGATATGGCACCTATAAATAGAATGTGCACTTATTTTAATAAATTTTAGCATGGCTATGATATTTATTGTGATGCTCTTGATGTAATTCTGGTCAATCTTAGACATAATTATGCTGTGGTGGGACGTTGAGATGTGCATTGCAATGTGATTTTATTATATTGTCTCTATTTTTTTATTATTTACTTTATTTATACTTATCTACTTTTACTTATACTCTTACTTTTATATCACATTTATGTCTGGATGTCTTTTTGATATCACTTCTAATTGTATTGTTCCTGTGATTGAGTATATCCCGTTGGAATGAAGATTATTATTATTATTATCAGGTGATTTTGAAATAATTGTTTGTTTTGAGTCAAAATATTCTACAGTAGCATTACTTTTATTATTTATATTATTAAGGGGGTAAGTTATTACATTTATTATGTTCATTTTTTTTTTAATTTTTTGGTATGAATGTATAATATCTTATGTATATCGTGTCAAAATCTCAAATCAGTCGCAAATAACGAAGTTATTAATATTCAAGTATCCAAACTGTACCTACATTAGCTGTTTTGTGGTTCCGTCTCTATCTGTCTACAGGGTGTCCCAGAAGTCGATGTCAAACCGGAAACGGGAGATAGGCCAAATCATAATAGTTATGAGAAAAATAAAAAATCTAGGTCGTGTTCTTTTCAAATTATAGGCTTTGAAAAAAATCGAAAAAATCTCTTGATCTTTGAATAATCTTTTTGTTACCATTACTACAAATTTCATTTTTTTCTTAGACGGAGTAACGGACCGTGTCATTCTACGTAGTGGCAGCAAGACAGATAGTAACGCCACTTTTATTAATTCATGATTGTGGAGTGCCACCATGTATGCCGCAATATGCTAGTGCTGCATCTAGTCTTTATTGTGAGAGGTACCCAACTGCTACTCGTCATCCAGATCACCGATTTTTTGTGAAATGTAAACCGTTTACTCTCAGAGGGACGATTCCCAAATCAAGCACAGGGTGAAGGCAGAATTTCCTTTCCTTACGAAGATGTCGTACTACAAGCAGTTGAAGAAGACCCGCACGGGCATCATGTAAAAAGCCTATAAAACGTCAAAAAAAACCTATAAGATGTCAACTTGCAGACTAGGCAGTTTTTAGGGCGCAAACAGTCATTCCACGTTTGCTCACTAGGATCGTTGTGAATGTCCATCTATGGAGGAATCACTCAACCAACTACACGCATTATTTTTTGCATAGTTTTGTGAGGCTGAGTGATCCGTGTCTGTAGTTTTTATCTCTGAGAAGGAAGAAAGTTGGTTGAATAGCAAGATCGCATCTGGATGATTATGTGTATGGGTCTGCATGTGTATAAAATCAGTGATATTTGCTGTGTGAGAAAATCATTACTGAATATGACGGGTTATTTATATGTTGTGCTTTCTGAAGAGAGGTTATGTTCAAAGATATAAATTACGAAAAACTGAGGAGAATTACGGGAAATCATCACCGCGCCCGCGTGTTATGTAACTACTGTTAGCATGTACATGGCTTCTAATTCGACAGTGTACAGTGAATATAATTATTTCTTATCTCTCTCATTTTCGAAATTCAGCAAATTTGTATATGTAATTTCCAGAATGGATAATAAAAAGTGGATGCGCAACTCATTTCTAGCTTTGAATCTCAATTAAGTATATTTGAGACAACCCAATGGAATTATCATCAACACATAGACATACAACTTACAGCTTAGACCTCCAGTAATGCCATCTCAGAAGCAGATTTTACATCACATCAGAGCCAAAGATTGATAACAAGCCTCATGACGTTTAGGCAACACGTACATCTAAGTGCTAAGTTAACATCTTGTAGAAAAACCTACATAATGTCACTTTTCAAGATACGTGATACCCGTGCCGAGTACTTCAGTACGTCAAATAGAAGCAAGCACGGGAGTGCCCAGAAGTACAGCTGACCGAATCCTGCGAAAGAGCTCCAGCCGTATCACGTACAGAAAAATCTCTACTACCCCGGGATTATCTTCCAAGAGTTAAGGTTTGTCAAATAATGTTACAGAGACAGAGACTAATGTGTCGACATTTAAAAAAGATGGTTACAAGAATCTACACAACTTACACGTGTGGCATGTAGAAAATCCACATTTGATGAGACAAGATAGATCACAGTATCGTTTTAAAGTAAACATGTCAACCCAGATTCTAAAATTCATTGTGCCATCTGAGCTGCCAGAGTTCTTGAATAGCGAAATTTATTTAGACTTTTTACAAAATGATTTACCAAATTTCTTGGAAGACGTACCAGCTAGCGGCCCGGCGAACTATGCCGGTTCAGTTAGAGAATATCTTGATGCAAAATATCCGAGTAGATGGAGGGCCGTCTGGTACAATTTCCTGGCCAGCTCGTTCACCTCACTTAAATCCAGTCGATTTTTTTCACTGGGGAGCGGTGAAAGAGAAGGTTCACTCAAAGCCAATCGAAAATTTAGCTGAGCTACGGGACAGAATAACTGAAGCAGCTGAATTTGTTAAAAAAGGAAGATTCTCCCATTTGATAATCCGATCATTTTTAAGATGTCAACCTCGTATTACTGCTGAAGGACGGCGATTTGAACATTTATTGTGAATTTAATAAATACATTCACGAATTAATAAAAGTGGCGTTACTATCTGTCTTGCTGTCGCTATGTAGAATGAGACTATCTCTCCGTCTAAGAAAAAATTGAAAGGACCCGGCAACACGCCTATGGGAAAAGTGGTTTCGGTTAATTTCGATGAATTTTTCATATGTTACGCGTCTTGACATCCCAAACAAATGTTTCAATGGGCACAGGCCCCCAACCTCAACGGGTCAAATATTTGCTTTAAATAGAAGAACGGTTACGGTCAATTTCCGTGAATTACTCATATGTTATGTAACTTGGCGTCCTAAATAAATGCCTAAATGAGCACGTGCCCCAAGACACAACGGGTCCCAAGATATAGGCCGTCTGAATCAGCATAATGGAGTAATCAGTCCTACTCGAATATCTGCTACAAATAAAAGAGTGGTTTCGGTTAATTTCGATAAGTTTTGTATATGTTATGTGCCTCGGCATCCTGAACACATGTCTTAATGGATACAAGCCCCAAAACTCAACGGGTTCCATGATATAGGGCGTCCAAGTCGGTATAATGTATTGGTTAAGTGTTAAGTGAAATGGCGGATTCGGTTAACTTCATTGAATTTTTAACATGTCATGTATCTCGATGTCCTGAACAAATGCATTGATGGGCATAGACCCCAAAACTCAACGGGCCCTAACATGTAGGCCGTACAAGTCAGTATAATGAGATTACGGTTCTAGTCGAATATCTGCTTCAAGTGCAAGAGCGGTTTCTGTTAATTTCGCAGAAGTTTTTATATGTCTCGGCATCCTGAACAAATGCCCTAATGGACAGAGGCCCCAAAATTCAACGGGTCCCAAGATATAAGGCGTACAAGTCAGAATAATCTACCGGTTATACTGGAATATACAATAATGGACAAAATTATATCAACAAATTAATATTGTGCTCTTTTTCTTTTTTAACTTGTTTTATTAATACACCAACCTGTATACATAATTCGTTATAGCATAATACTCACTTATACATAAATAAATTCATTAGACTCCCTTCAATAAAAAATTAATTGAAAAAACTGGAACTATGAAGGGTGTCCGCAAAGTTGGGGTTTTCCTTTACACGACGTGTAGATCTTGAAAACATAAGCAATTTTTCTTAGTACCATATACACCAATGTCTTAAGGGAACCGAGATAAAGGGCTCTGCAACATCAAAAATATCTGAATACCGTCCTGTAGCCGCGACCCGCCGGGATATCACCGGTTGGTACAAGGTCTCAAACCGACGACAGAACTCGGTCGGGGTCAGTGTGTCAGGTTAGTATGCAACCTTCAACCGACGGTGACAGTCACGCGTGTAGAGGTCAACGAACTCGTATAATCGATTGCGTTTCAAAAAACAACAAGCACTAGAGACGTGGCTAGAGAAGTGCAAGTATCAAAAACTAAAGTGTGACAAACGCTGCGTCCACGTGTACAAGCCCTTCAACCTGACGATTTTCCAGCAAGAGTGCGGTTTTGTGAGTGGTTGTTGCATCAACATGACAATAATCCGGACTTTTTGAAGTGCATATTGGTGACAGACGAATCTACGTTCACGCGTAATGGGGTGAATAACTTTCGCAACACTCATGTTTGGTCATTTTCAACAAACATTTTCGGTGAATGTTTGGGCTGGCATGGTGAACGGTATGCTCATTGGACCATTTATTCTCCCAAATCGATTGGACGGGATGCAATACCTAGACTTTTCACGCAACATTTTGCCTTCCTTGTTAGAAGATGTGCCATTAAGTGTAAGACAATCAATGTGGTTTCTGCGTCTGCTCGGTACCGCTTCAGCTGATTTCATTTTCTGTTGGAGCGGTATGATTTCGGGCAGAGACGTACTTAGCCCTTCTCGTCAACTGGAGAGTGAGTACTTTTTCCTTTATTTTTTTTTTACTTGGTCGCCCTCGTTTCACTACACATTACCTTTGTTATTTCAAGGGTAGTTGTTTCTGAAAAGGAAAACTCCAACTTTGCGGACACCCTGTATAGACAAAGCAAAACAATTATACAAAAAAGAAGCAAAGTTCATTGAATTATAGAAAACCAACCATGTTTGTCTCCACTTTTGCTCTAAAGCGGCAAAAAGTTCGTCCTTGTTCGAATAATTTTTATCTAGTATTTGCTTATCTAAGTATTCCCATAGATTTTCAATGGGGTTTATATCGGGAGACTATGAGGGCCATTTGAGAACTGGTATTTTTCCATCCAGAAAGAATTTCTTTGCGAGATTTGAAGTGTGCTCCGGGTCATTATCTTGCTGGAAGGTTGATCTTAATTGTCTTCCATATAGGGTAACGTGACATGCTTTAGTATGTCTGTGTATACAAACTTATCCATAATGCAATCTATTCTATGTAAAGGTCCCATCCCAAACCCCGAAGAGCACTCCCAAACCATAACAGACCCGCCTCCATGTTTGACAGTGGGCAAAGTGTGTGGGGTTCAATCTTTGTCCACTAGGACGTCTAACGTAATCAACACCATCTGATCCAATCATATTGAACTTGCATTCGTCAAGTCGACATTGCCAAAAATTTGAAGCTGAAGTGTAAAGCAGTTTGGGCAATATTGCACAAATATAAAGAATAAAAATCTTGGAAGCCTCTAAGAGAAGTGGTCGGCCTAGAAAACTAAATGCTAGATCAGTTAGATTAATAAAAGTAATTTCGTCCAAAGATCCGCTTAAAACCGGAATCGAGACAAAAGGAATTGTCAGTGTTTCTACGAAAACTATAAGTAGAAGATTAAATAATTTGAAGTTATTTGCACGTGTCGCCCGAGTAAGAAGCCGCTAATCTCGAGGAAAAACCGTAAGGACCGATTACAATTTGCACGGTTGCATCTTGATTGGAGCACATGTGACTGGAAGAGGGTATGTTTCAGTGACCAATCCAAGTTCAATATGTTTGGATCAGATGGTGTTCATTACATTAGACGTCCTAGTGGACAAAGATTGAACCCCAAGTACACTTTACCCAGTGTCAAACATCGAGGGGGGTCTGTTATGTTTTGGGGGTGCTTTTCGGGGTTTGGTATGGGACCTTTACATAGAATAGATGGCATTATGGATAAGTTTGTATACACAGACATACTAAAGCATGTCATGTTGCCCTATATGGAAGACAATATGCCCTTAAGATCAATCTTCCAGCAAGATAATGACCCGAAGCACACTTCAAATCTCGCAAAGAAATTCTTTCTGGATGAAAAAATACCAGTTCTAAAATGGCCTTCACAGTCTCTCGATACAAACCCCATTGAAAATCTATGGGAATACTTAGATAAGCAAATACGAGATAAAAATTATTCAAACAAGGATGAACTCTTTGCCGCTTTAGAGAAAAAGTGGTGACAGATTGATGAATCTTATATCAAGAAACTTCTACAAGCTATGCCGAGAAGATGCCAGGCGGTGATCGATAATAATCGTTATGCTACAAAATATTAACACAAATATGGTTGGTTTTCTATAATTCAATGAACTTTGCTTCTTTTTTCTATAATTGTTTTGCTTTGTCTATATATTTTTGTCCTTCATAGTTCCAGTTTTTTTCAATTAATTTTTTATTGAGGGGAGTCTAATGAATTTATTTATGTATAAGTGTGTATTATGCTATAACGAATTATCTATACATTTTGGTGTATTAATAAAACAAGTTAAAAAAGAAATATGAATTTGTCTATATACTTTTGTCCATTACTGTATATCAAAAATTCAGCGAAATTAACCGAAACCACTTATCCCACAGGCGTGTTGCCGAGTCCTTTGTAGTAACGGGAGCTAAAAGATCATCACAGGACGTGCATTTTTCGATGTTTTTAAGACTATAATTTGAAAATTACACAACTTTTTTTAAATTTTCTGATAAATATTATGACTTGACCTATCCCCCGTTTCCGTTTTGAGGTCGAATTCTGGGACACTATATAATGTATTCGCCTTGTCTGTTTTCTCTTGCTAGAACTATTCTTTAGCTATAGTATTCAGATCAGTTTAAAAGAGATGTTCGCCGCACCGTTCAGTTTTATGTAAACCGTTAAGAAGTTTTTCTGAGACATGAGATTTTTTTTACTGTAACTAAAAATCTAATGCACTGATCCTTTTGGAATTTTAAATGCTTGTTCAGCACATATCTCATTAGGTTTATTATAAAAAATATGTCAATTTTTTTAACGAAAATCATGTTTTTGAGTTCCGGGAGCTACAAAAAGAATAAATAATCTAAAAAATAAGAACTTGACGTTACCTTAAAAAACCTCAACAACCTCAACAGTCTATGATGAATAGAAGGAGTTTTCTAATAAAAAATGTTATGTTTGAATATTTGTTCGCTATGTAACAGGGAAAATAAACTATTTTTTTTAATTGTTAAAGGACAAAGTTGTCTTAGAATAATAAAGCTACATTTAGTTCTCGGTATTATTTATACTGACGGGGACGATGAGCTGAGACATTGAGATAAAGCGAATTTTTCAATAATGGTAATAATACAGAACTAGAGATTACAGTATTTCTGGGGAAATTGTGTTTTTTCCTTCAGCAAAAAGTAGCTAAGGAAAACTAATATAACACTGTCGAGCTGACAAAAAAATGACTGCATAAAAATTTACAAAACCTACTAGATGGGTGATGAAAGAATGCATGCTTACATCTGAACATTGAAATCCTCAGCAGGATCAACATTCCCAGTAGCCTTATCAAAGATCCCATCAGCACCCTCATAATACTTATTGATAAAATCAGGAGTCCTGAACAACATCTGAATTACACTGTTCAGGTAGCAAGAGTTACCCATATTTTCCATTCCTGTGTAACCTGGCCCATAAATAGGCTTCAGTTTCACTCCACTTTCTTGCATTGCTGCCCACTCATTAGATTTCGTATTTAATTCCAGCTCCAGCTCAAGCATAGATTTTTCTGTTTTCTCCAAGTTGGCAATGTTGATACCTGTTTAAAATTTCATATGTCAAAAGCCAATTATCACTGTAAAACACATCTTATTGTCTTTTGATATTAACTAAACCTTACATGCAAGAAGAATGATCAATTCAATTAGAATGCTAATGAAATATTGTGTCAATTTATTAAAATGTGTTTTACATGTATTTTAACTATATGGGAAAATAATGTCTTACCCCAATGAGCCAAATGCTCAACTAAATTTGGGTTTTCAACCATATCATCTTCAGCATAACTGTAAACATCACCTTTTCCATCTTTAGTAATTGTTCCTAGCTTAACAGCCAAAGGATATTTTGTAGCATTGTAGTGCTCTACAGCATGGTTATTACCACCAGTGCCATCAAAGAATTTTCTACCTACAAAGAGAATATACAATTTTGTTCAAATTCTAAACAATGTCTCAATTATACAGCATGTCTGCAGCTAATCCGTAAAAATCTAGCATTTTGAAATATATTAATTTACTTTTCGAAAATCTCATGATTAAAAGCACAGTGAATAATCTGGTACTACAAGGATCCAAGTATATTTTGTCATTTTTGAGCTGTAAATCACTGTTTTTCTTGAAACAGTGTTTAATATGTCTTTTTTATTCAAGGTTAATAATAATGATCTAACATTTTTTTGCAAATTGAGTAATTCTATAAATGTTTTCATTTTACTTACCACATAATATAGATCCATCAGTAAGGTTCAACCACAAGTTGTCAGTCTTGTCGCATTTTTCACAATTCCAACCAGTTGGAGGAATTTTTTTTCCATTGTCCAGCTGCTGGAGGTTATTTGCATATATTGAAACTATGCGGCATTCACCATCCCAAGTTCCACTAAGAGCCTCAAGTTCTGCAAGTTTACTAGCTGATGGTAGATCAATTATTGCCTGGACAGACTGTTTTACCTGAAATGCCCAAGTATTTCCTCAGCATAGAAAATTCTCAAGCTATATAAAATAAAGGACCCTAAAGTTTCTGAATCAACCTTTGATAATCGCTGATTTTAAGAAGACTCAATGTTTGCTAAATAGGCAAGAGAGATGTCAAAAAACCTCTACACACAAAAAAATATTGTTTCATTGTCAGAATGAAAAATGATATGCCATATGAGGGTCAAATTCACAGATATCTTAGAAGAATTATTTACAATGTGAAATGGTTTAAATAATACAGTTCTTTATGCAATTATTTCAGAGTTTTTTTTGCTCATATAATCGAAAAATTTTTGTGGGCAATTCTATACAATGATCAACCCAAACAATTAAAATAAACACATCCCATTTTTCTGATTCATGTTTTGCAAGGGAGAATTTATTTCCATTCTATATTGGATTTAATGCTTAAAAATCATAGAAATATATTTTTATATTGGTAATTGGGCATAAAGAAAAAAAAATATTTAATAAAAATGTGTTAAAGTAAGAAAATACATAAAATATATTTTGAGCCATCTACATGACTCCTTCTCTAACACAGATTGGAAGGATATTGTTAGGTAGCATTGATCAAAATTTTAACAGGTGTACTCATAAAGCACAATAATAAAGGCTTTATTCCCGTATCCTCAGTCGTTCCAACAATTAGGAAGTTTGCTATAGTCGAAAATACTGCCTGTGTTCCTTGCATCTGATAGTATAACTAGTATCTTTGACAAATCTGAAAGAATTATTCCAATAACTTTAAATTTAAGGAAGTTATAGCATTTTCTGTGTTGGCTGCTGTAGCCGATCGGCCTCGCGCGTCGACGTTCGGTAGTGACGTCACATGACGGAACGTCGCGCGTCAGTAGTGAAGCGGTCGGACGACACGACGGCTTATCGCATACATCCTTAGCGCTCAAGCTGACAAGAAGTTTTTTACGAGCCGATTCCACATTTCTTTTGAAGGTGGACATATGTAATGGTAATGAATTTCTTCACAAACAATCCACTTTATGTCAGTACGGAAATACGTAAGTAAGTAAATAATATAATTTATTCGATATAACTCTGATAACAATCCACTTTATGTCAGTACGGAACTACGTAAGTAAGTAAATAATATAATTTATTCGATATAACTCTGATAACGGGAACCCATTTTTTCAACCCATTGCCTGCGACTATACCGTACTGTGGACTTATAAAAGTGTTTTGAGTCTTTTTACGTAGGACGCGTGGTGTCAATGGCGGGGTATTATGGATGATCTTATTTGGATTTATTAATTTTATAAATAGAAGAAAATGAAAACATGCTTTGCATACATCAAATGACCCAAAATCCAGCGGATACGTTTGATAAATAATAAATTCAATATCGCGCAGTGACCAGAAAATCAACTGTTTGAACTGAAATGTAATCCAACGCCAATAGGACTTGATGGCCGTCCGGTGTTGACTCACAGCAATTTAATAATTCTTTCGTAACAATTCACGATGTATATTTGTTAACCAAGAGTAGAATCAATGATTCGTCATTCATTTTTGGGTATTGCTATTTGGGTGTTGTCATTATAGGTCTGGAAGAGACACCTATGGAGATGAGGCGATGTGCAGTAAAAAGAGAACGGGATCTCTGTATTGTAAAAGCCATGATTACGCCCTAACATAGAGTTAAAAGCAATCCGTATCATTGCAGTTTTGAATGCGACGAAAAGGAGGAAACAATAATTAAGCTAGGATGCAGTGGTTGTGCTGCGCACAAGAGGGTGGCTGTAAGCATGGTGTAGCGCTATTTAATGTGGCTGCACAGAAGAAGCGAAGAACCACCATGCACTTCCGTGAAGTGCTACTGGACAAATGGCAGATTATCTACTATTGGCAGTAATCTAAAATTCATAGAAGCCTCTCAGATGATTACACATTAAGCCCACAATTGACCGACGCCTATGCATCGCCGCGTCGGCACAAACAAGGTTTGAACAGTGTTTCCCCTAAGATGATCACTATACATATACATTACCTCGAAATGAAAGCAATAATCAAATCTATTTCTGTTCTCCTTCAAACTATTTAGATTCTTTACCTTATCATGCGAGGCATATAGACTAAGACTACTAATAATTATTATTGCTACCATTTATATCATAGGTATTAGCTAAATAGCTGCTTACATCAAAATGGGATTCACAGAAAACAACGTTGATTTTTCCGACAGCGGCAATTTATCGTCCCTATTCATTACCTTGCACCAGTTCTTTCTAATACTGCTGATAGCTAGTATTTGTACACTTAGGTACAATAAAAGATTTGTAGGTTGAAGGTTTGACCAACTTTTACTCATTGTTAATAATTAGATGAGCGTGTGTGGCGCGGCGCGGCAGGCGAATCTCCTTGCAGTGGTGCTGTGCTGATAAGGTTCCGTCATGTGACGTCATCACTCACTCGCACGGCCCACCACACGATTCTCCAAATAAGGAACTTCTGACTAGCGTAACTTTGTTATTTTTCAAGATATTAAAAAAAAAATCAGCGCTGTTCTTCATTTTACTTAGACTATCATTTTAAGTGTATTTTGAAAAATAGGAAACTTCCTCATTGTAGGGCGCGTTTATGGCCTCCTTGATTTCGATAATATTACGTCTTCTTCATTAACGTACATATATGTCCTGCTTTAGATTTCCGACATACTGACAGTTCTGGCTTGAGGTTATGTTGTTGTTTTGACGTTCAAAACATATGAATGGAAAGCAGAACTATAATTTATAATTTTCTTGCAAATAATGTCGATCACTCAAAAATACCTCGCTACATTGAACAAAATCCACAACCTGTGGTATCTTCAAGAAATTGTTGAGTTAGGAAAATTAATGCACATGGATATATTATATTATAATATTATATGTGTGTATGAAAGTCCAGAAGCTTACAACCAAGCTATTCTCTTGATGAAGGTTGGTAACTTACAAAACAAATCATTGCATATCCATATTATATACTTATCGCATTATTTTCAGGTGTGATTCATTCTCACAGACTTTATGAGATGGTTCCTCCATGGATAAGAAACATTGTATGGCACGTGTAATTATTGCATTGTCGATGTCAGAGATGCTTTTTCACAAATCATTGTGGGACTCTAGATTGTGTAGAGTGTCAGGCACAAGTATGTATAATCTGTGTATGTGAAGATCATAATTACTATTATTGACCATCGCTATTTCAGGGTGCTCAAAATGCCATGATCATGTAGGATTACCAAAAATGAAGTGTTATAGAGAGTAAACAGAAGAATAGAGTTGCAGCATGAAGCAAAATCAGAAAAACTTTATGACAATTCCACAATTAATTATGAATGGGAAAATAAAAAAAAATTGTGACTCATCAAGGGAATTTCTTTCCTTTTAAACAAACTCCACACAATTCAAACAGCTAGATAAGCGGAAAAGACCCATTATGTTGAAAATTGTAGTTACCTCAAAGTCAGACTGGGTTAAGCCCTAATAAGTAGTTTTAAGATAGTTTCATTGCATTCATAATTCACTCATCCTTACAGGTAGGTAGATGTTGCAAGTATCAAATTAAAACTCCCAACTTTATCATGAACTCAACATGTAAGACTAATTTTAGGGAAAAATGAACTTAACCCAACCTGGCTCTAAGGTACAGAATTTGATTTGTATTTAAACTGCTGGGTATAAATTTTGGATTTAAATCACTATCAATAATGGAGCATTCAGCTACTGAGCATACTTCAGTGGTATCATCAAGAACAAGGAGATCAATGCACTGAGCCTCAAAGAACAATATGTTGTATTTATCAAATGTGTTGCACCATATATTAATGTTGTAGAATGTGGTATATGAAGAAAAAGTGAGGACAGCTACATACAGTTTCTTTTCCAATTTGTTCATTGACTTGTAATCTTAACATAAAAGGGAAAATTTATTAAAACTGTGGCATATGAAAGAAATACATTTACTGTTTGAGAAAGAAATATCAGAAACTGAACAGGTTTGATATTTGAAACACTCATATGAAGAGCAGATTTTACTAGTTATGATGGTCACAGTAAAAAAAATATAAATCTTTGACTCGAAAGTATGCATTTATCTCTTGAAGTATTGGTAACTGCAATTTAGTTTGTTTCCTAATTGAATGTCCTAGGGGGGTGGTTTCAGGTCTATTTTAAGATGAAAACTTCAAATGATCGTATATCCTAAATGTTTTAACTTTTGAAACACAGGGTGGTAAAAAAGGTCAAAAAAATAAATCCTTGATTATAAATATCCCTATTACCACTTAATGAAACTTGGAACACATGTAAACGTGTCAAGAGGCATTCTTTTAATTTCATCTGCCTGTTTTGATAGACAGTGATAGTATGCTGTTTATTTCTCTCTTATTAAAATTTTCAATCACTTCGAAGCAAAAATCGATACGAAATGATTTTTTTTTTCAATCTGATGCACGGTTTTTATAAAAACGATCATAACAATATTGTTAACATGACAATCTCACCATGCAGAGAATTTTTTGTGTGGGAATAGTGGGTCGGACATGAAAAATTGAATTCTTTTACTCTGACGCACGGTTTTCACCTGAAAAATACAATCTATTTCGCGACATTGTGACATTGTCACACTCACGATATCAGGATCATGCAAAGAAACGTTATTTTATTTTTGTAAGCGAATACCGTGCATCGGAGTGAACAAAAATTAAGCAATCAAATTTGCCTAGAAACGTCGAGATTTCGATTAAAAGTTTTTATTTTAAGAGAAATCATTTGCGTAGTATCTGTCTATGCCAAAATAAGCAAGGGGTACGAACGTCGATGGTGGAAATCAAAAGAAAATTCGTACATTAAAAATACCTCTTGATAGTACATATATGCAGAATTGTAATAAAGTATTTAAAGTGATATTACAGATCGTAACAAAAAAATGATTGATTTTTAAAAAGCTTATCACCCCGTTTCTCAAAAGTCAAGACGTTTAGGACATACAATTATATGAAGAAGTTTTCTTCTTAAAACAGAACCAAAAGTCGCCCCCTTAAACATTGACATTCAGTTGGAAAACACCTTATATATTTTGTAAGTAAATTTGGATTTATCAAGGGTTATTGTAATACACTTATTGTAGTTTTTCATTTTGGATATGTTTTTTTGACCAAATATTTGTTCATATTTCCTGTTATTATTTGTACCTTTTAGACATAAAGACTTCATTTGATTACTGATACTTATGTATTTTGACATACTACCTATGAATTCCTTAACAATTTCACGTATAATATTTTCCAGTTGGTACTTGCAGAATATAAATAAAAGAATACTTGGTAAAATAAATTTTTATTCTACATTGCATACACACAGAAATACAATAGGTTCTTTCAAAAATATCTAGAAATATAGACTTCATCATTTTTTAATCATTGATGTTAACTAGATTATATGCTGTTTTATAATTACAAGCTATGTAAACAGGGCTAAAAGGATATCTGATCAATTGCAGAGAAATCTGTCTAGTTTGGGGGCACATTAGATCATTTTGGAAAGTTAATTAACTCTAGGTATCAAACTTCTTGAAATATCCAATTTAAATATATTGCCTCTTCTTTTTTTTCCTCTAATAACATTCCTTACACTGGAGTTATTGTCTTGGAACAATATGTTGTACCCTGGGATTATCAGGATTGGATGTTCTTTGAGCAATGCAAGTAGATCTGAAAAAAATAGTATTATAAGTAATGGTAATTTCTTATGCTTTACTCCTAAGTACCAATATAAACATAAGTGTTAAAATATGTATTTCATACAACATTTTTGCTAGATCACTGGATTCTTATTTAACCTATGGCATCAGCTTTGGGAGATTTTGTACAAATAGAAATGTTGATTACAAAATTCAAAAAGCCACTTTATCGAGTTTCGTGTGACATTTCATCTCTCACATGCAACATTAACTATTACACATTTGAGAACCCCCTTTCCAGGCATAACAAGGCTCCTCTTGAACTCAATAGCTTTTACCTTTAATGAATATACAGGCTTATGCCTACCTTAAATTTACAAATTGCAGTGTAACACATGTCAATCACAAAAAGCAAATTCACTTATTTCAGTAAGGTTGGCTCCTTCAAACATGCTTTTAAGTGCCTGGATGCAAGAATCCATTCTTAGGAAGATCATTCACCTCTTTATCCTTCCAAAATAGATATGGAGTTTTGTATGCAATATCACGATTGGTTTATATCTGCAAAAAAGATGCATAGATTCAAGTCACATTAAAAATTTTACACCTTGGTGTGGGCTACAATTTTATAATGATATTTTTTAGAGTTACAGTCTGAAATTTTTAAGTTAAGGTTCCCACTAATATTAAAAAAATACCAGATAGGGCAGGGCATGTTTAAACTCAATTTCAGAGCATTTACACATTGTACATACTTGTAGCCTGACACTAGGCAATCCAAAGTCTGACAATGATTTGTGAACAGCCATCTCCGACATCAACAATGCAGTTGCACTTGGGATACAATGTGTCTTATCCAACATTTCATAAAGTCTGTGAGAACGAACCACATCTGAAAAAAATGCGATAAGTGTATAAATATGAATATGCAATGTTTAAAAATTTTGTAACTTACCAGCTTCATCAAGGAACAGCTTGGTTGTAAGCTGTTAGGCCAGTGGTTCCTAACCTTTTCAATGTCACTACCCCTGTGAACAAGTATGGGAATTGAGTTTACCCCTAGCCAATTTAAAATAATTAAAACCACACAAATTCGAACGAAAATATGTTTATTATCTAACTAAATTCTAAGAAATTGCACGTTTAGGTAACTAGTAAAGTAAAGTAATATGTAAATCTTGGAGTTAACTAGTGTGAAGGTTGAAATTGCTTTGCATTCGCAAGTTTGACAATATTAGGTTCGGTTTCACTCAACGCGCATCTCATGTCATGCTCAACATTCAGACGGTTTCTGGCTTTTGTTTTTAATGTAACAAGAGTTGAGAAACCAGTTTCACATCTGTAAGTTGTAGCAAATGGAATCAACATTTTTAAAGCTCTGTCAGCTATAATGGGATATTCTGCAGCTGCTTTTCGCCAAAATGTGCTTAGTTTATCATTTTGAAAATCAACTTTCAATGAGTTATTCTCACGCAGCCCGAGAAACTCTACTTTCGCTGACACATCTTCGTCCTTGAAAATATCGACGCAAGTAGAAAATGGTCTTAAAATCCAGGAGTAGGACTCACGACTGTCCATGTTCGGAAAATATTGCTGCAGTGAGTCTATCACGGCAGTTAAATGTTGAACCACGGAATTTTCAAACGAGATTTTCTCTTGTTTATTATTTACTAATTGCTCACTTAGTTGTGTAAACATTGACACATCACCAGCTTGAACTCTGCGTTGGTAAAGTTCCAATTTGCGCAAAAAACTTGCGATTTTATCCTGCAACGTCAAAATATTCGTTTCATTTCCTTGCAGTGAAATATTCAGACTATTAATTTCAGTGAAAAAATCAGCAAGGTACGCCATTTTTAGAATAAATGTTTGGTCTTTAATTTTTGCATAATATTCTTTTTCTTTTTGTGTTCTCTGATTTTCAAAAAACAATCCAATTTCTTCTCGTAATTCGTAAACCCTACTTAGAACTTTGCCTCTTGATAACCAACGTACCTCTGTATGGTACAAAAGAGCATTAAATGTAGCACCAACTTCATCGCACAAAACTTTGAATAATCTTGAGTTAGTAGCGCTGCCTCGAATATGATTAACAATTTTTACTATGTCACTCAACGTGTTTAGCAAATCTGATGGAAGCGTTTTCACAGCCAAAGCGTAACGGTGTATCAAGCAATGATAGCCGAAAACTTGAGGAGCAACTTGCTTCACGAGTGCCTGAAAACCAGAACGGATGCCCATCATCAGTCTAGGCCATTTTCCTCAATAAACTCTTTTAGCGTTTGAAATACGTCTTCGCCGCGAGTAGTAGTGGGCAAAGACTTGCAGAACAAATATTCCTCCTTTACATCATCATCTTTAATGTATCGTGTAAACACCAATAATTGTGAACACGAAGCAACATCTGTGGACTCGTCCAACTGCAGCGCAAACATATGACTTTCCTTTATTTCAGAAATAACGGTTGCTAGAATATCGGCACTCATTTCACATATGCGACTTTGAATAGTAGTGTTTGAGAGTGAGATTTGTTTAATCTTAGCTACATGTTGCTCACCAATAACAAGTGCTACTGCATCTAACAAGCAAGGTTTGATGAGGTCCTCTCCTATAGTGTGTGGTTTTTTATTACGTGCGATGCGATAAGCAATTTTGTATGAAGCTTGAAGGCATGATTCATTTGCTTTCTGTATATTGCCTGTTGAATCCATGCGGGAAGACTTCAGAATCCTCTCCTTTTTCTTAAAAAAATCTATATTTTTATCTGCGAACTCCTTGTGAACTTTAGCAAAATGTTCTTTTAATTTGCTCGGTTTCATGCTTTCTGGATTAAGCACTTTATTACATAAAACACACTGAGGCTTTTCTATATTTTTGTCTACGATGCTTGTGAAACCCCATTGTAGAAATGCTTCTTTATAAGTGCGCTTTTTGCCAGATGAAGTAGAAGCCATGTCAAAAACACCTGTAGGTACCTAAAACAAAAATCAACTAATACATACCTACGTAAACAAATCACTCGTGACAATATTAACGTGACGATATTAACAAACACTGCTTACCTTTGAATTTAAACCGTTTAAAAATACGATTTCTGCAATGCGCGGCGGAACAAATAAAATGCGTGTTCTTCCTAAGCTTAGGTAAACAAAATGAACATCGCCGCCTGTCCGGCCCGCCGCTAGTCATGCTTCACCCCTCCCACCCCGCAGCTCACCCGCCGCCGTCGCCGTCAGCCGCGCGCATGAGAGCGCCGTGCTACCGTTTACCGTACTATTATTTTGTTTATTGCTATTTTAATACTATTTCGTGCCATCCCGTGTTACCCCCTTAGAATCTCCGTTTTACCCCTGCGGGGGTAATTACCCCCAGGTTAGGAACCACTGTGTTAGGCAAATATATATAAATACACATCCATTTGCATTGAATTGTTGATTTTAGATCATTAATACCAGATATGGGACTTGAAGATATCACAGCCTGACGAATTTGTTCAATGTAGGAAATTATTATTGAATGATCAACATCATTTGCAAGAAAATATCCTTGGGCATTTGATTCATGTCTAAAATTTCTTAAACGTCAAAAAAGAAACATAAACATAACCTAACATCACAATTGACTTCTGATTGACAGCAGACTAGAAATCATAAGCAGGACATATGTACCTTACTGAAGAACACATAATATCGAAATCAAGGAGGGCATAAACTCGCCCTACAATTGTAGGGACAACTGGCGATAGGATGTCTGTGGGGGGTCCCAAAGCAGACCATGACCCCCAATAAGAATCTTAGTGAACTTTAAAACTTGCATGTTTAGCATGTTTTTGTGCCAAATTTTAGGAAAATCTAGCCTCCACTATTCAAAAACTTTTAGGGGCAGATACACTTCTGCTAATTTTGGGAGCAGGTATGCTTGCACAAAAGATTGTCTCTTGCAGGTGGAAAAAATTCCTGCAAGTGTCTATGAGTCTAACTACTTTGTAATTATATATTACTCACAATATCTGGCATTTCTTCATTTGGCCAAGACAGTATCACAAAATCTGGCAAAAGCACTATAGTGTAGATATCTTCAAATTCATATTTCTTCTTCCCTGCATCTGGGTCAAACCCACCTTCAACACCAATGGCAAGTCTGGTAATTTTCTTATCTGGACCATCGCCCTGTGGTGGTGATGAAACCTGATATTAAGACACATACATTGTATGGTATTGGCCCAGGAATTAGCAAAACTATATATTTTTACCTCATGTTTTAATCGTTCTATATGCAAGTAAACAGCGTGTTTTGTTTTTCGGAAATATCTCTCAACATGATCTCTTCCCAAGCCTAAGAAGGTCGATAAGCTTACATACAATCCAGTTTCTATTTCCTAAAAATATTTTTTGCTTAATCATAATTCTGATTTTGATATGAACCTACTTACTGGGTTATCGAAGGAAAACACACATTCGTCTTTGTAAACTTTACTATTTGCTGTTGGAACTTTTATGTCTTTTAAATGCTTTGATAATAATTCCATCCTACTGTTCCAAAAGGTGCTGTGAGGGTTTTGAACACAACGTTTTGAACTCACTTTTTTAGAAATAATCTTCCAGTCACAAAACTGACAATCCCAGCCAATGCTTTTAGGTTATAGTCCCAGACACAGATTATTATACACACAAAACACAAAACATATTCACCACAAAACACATAAGACTGAAGAAGTGGGAGCTGCACGTTAAACAATGGCAACAACGTTGACGTTTTGTCAGATGGTTGCGCTGCCTACTGCAGGAACTATCGAAAGAATGCCGAGAATGTGCCTGGAATAAGGAATATACAGTGCTGCTAGGGATTTCGTTTGTTCATAATTTGAAATCTGCTGAAAATGATATTTACGATATTGAAGGTATATTTCATGAACATATTATTCATAAAATACCCCCAATAAGGGTAATATCTCTTTTAGCAGTTTTGCAGAGAAAAAGGTTCAGAATAATAAAATCCAACTCTAATTATGAGCACCAAATTTATTTAGTTTCATAAAATATTCATATGCTGTTGACAATGGTATAAAAATTGTATTACATGAAAATATAAATAGATTTATTAGAAATGCATGTTGAGTGTTGCAAAACACAAGTATCTCACTTCATTGTACCGCTTCTTGATAATTCTGAAACAATACAGAAAACACAAATGTAATTCATAGTTCTTTGTAAATAAGATAGCCACTTTCAATTAGTATTTTTGCGTTGATATCTAATAACCTCTGTTAAAAAGTGACATAACCATTGCTAAAACTAATCATTTAGCTCATCTCGGAAAAAATCACAGCCCTAAGCCTAATGGTTTAGTTGTAATTGCGATTGAAAGTTCATTATCCCGTTTTTTTTTCAAAATTTCACAAAATTGAAAGTAAAAATTAGTTTAATCTCTTGTCATTTCCCTAACAAGTTATTTTTAAAATGATTATTTTAGTCACTTGTAATTTTAAAAGATATTTTTTAAAAATCAGTTTAATCTCTTGTTATTTCCTTAACAAGTTATTCTTAAAATGATTTCTCCTGAACTATAAAATTTTGGACCACACATATGTTTATTCGATAGGTTTTGAGGTCCTCTATCATCTGACTTCCGTACTAACTTTACATAATATACATAATATAGTGATCGGTCGCAAGTGGCTGTGGTTGATGGTCAGATGTCTTTGCCAAATAAAGTTCAGTCCGGAGTACCTCAAGGCTCCGTATTAGCTCCATTGCTTTTTTTGTTATACACCGCGGATCTTCAAGATACTGTCAAGCACTGTCATGTGCAATTCTTTGCCGATGACACTCAGGTAAAGTATGATTTTCCAGCCTCACGCTACTCTGAAGCCCAAGACCAAATCAATGAAGATTTGTCAAGTATTAGCCGCTATTGCAAGTTACATTACCTCAAGCTCAACCCATCGAAGTGTAAAGCATTGCTATTTGGCAATATCAAAATAAGAGCAAATCTTATAAGCAAAATTAACGTTCAAATCGAAGGAGAAATCATCCCTGTGCCAAAAATTTGGGCTTACATTTAGATGAAGACCTGAGGTTCGAAAAACACTTACAGCACGTTTTGAGGCAATGTTACGGTTCGCTCCGGCTTCTATTTGCAAACAATTGCATCACTGGTAAGCAATTGAAAAAACAGCTATGTGAAAGCTTGGTATTGTCTAAGATTTCGTATGGGCTAATAATTTATTACCCCTGCCTAACTGCTGCGAATAAAAGACGTCTACAGATAATGCAAAATACCTGTAGTAGGTACATAAATAATTTGAGGAAATTTGATCATATATCGCATACGTATTCTGACCTCAATTGGTTAACTATAGATAATCTATACAAATATTCTGTTTTAAGTTCTGTGCATCGTATTTTACTATCCGCATCACCCCCATACCTGTTTGAAAAATTTATTACCAGATCCAGCACGCATAATATTAACACAAGGCATCAGGCTTTCTTTCTACTGCCAGTCCATCGTACTGTTTTATATTCAAGAACCTTTATTTACAATGCCGTTAAATATTACAACAGTATTAATTTTCATTTTAAAAATATTGCGAATATTAAAACTTTTAAATTAAAATTGAAGTCCGATCTTCTCTCGCAAACATGAATTGCCACTTATATTTTTTTATTGGTTAATGATGGTTGATTTTAAAAAAAAATCCCTTTGATCACAGTTTTGTTGGTTTAAAACAAACCGATTTAAATGTATGTACCATAGTTATTGTCATCCACTTCTATGTAATTTCGTATAAATTATCAAAACGGGGTTAGGTGGAAGAATAGCACACGCTAAACCTCGCCCCTCGTAATGTACTAAATGTTTAGTGCAATAAAGACCCTTTATTATTATTATTATTATTATTATATTGGGCCTGATAAAGCCAACCAGCAGAAATACGTATCGCTCGGGTTACCTATCCTAATTTCTGCTCGAATCCACTTTTCTCCTTTTTGCAGATTTTACCCATTATTTTCCTACCTGTTGTTATATATATATATATATATATACAGACTTTGAAGTTGAGTCATTCATTTTCAGATAATGATTGTAGAAGGAAGATAAACCAAAATATGTGTGTAAAAATAAAAAAAAATGTTACCTTGTTTTATAAAGTATCCTCCCGACAAGTATTTCAGTGCGGACCTGTATTTGATCGTGCGGTCTTGGAGCACCGGCATGCCCTCCCCTGTGAGGTCTTAAGTCACCTGATTCACGAACCCTTTGTACTACATTAACAAAGGCACGAGGGGTTGGTTGCACTTGATTGGGAAACCGATCCGCATAAATCCGTGATGCCGCGACAGCATTTTGTAAATATCCTATATATATATAGGAAAATAATGGGCCAAATCCGCAAAAAGTGGATACGAGCAGAAAATAGGATAGGTAACCCGAGCGATAAGTATTTCTGCTGGTTGGCTTCATCAGGCCCGAGTTGAATGTACATACGCAACTACAAAAGTAGATACACATGTCCACACATCCTCATACGGGTGTAACCTGAGGAAACGAAGATGTAGAGGGAAAAAAATCGACACACGAAGTCCACAACAAAAGCCAACCTACACATTGTAGTATAAAATGGCTAGAAGACCTTAAATTTTCAAGGAGACATCTGACCACAACCTCACGGCCGGTTATAGCCACTTGCTGTGGTACTTCAATCCCAAAGGATCTACAAAGAGAAAATGATCATGCGGAGAAAGGTATATAACAAGTGTTACTTTTTGTGTTAGGCTGCAACGTTGGCAATAATGGATCGGGTTAAAATATAGTAAAAGTTGTTATTAGCGTTTGGTTTTTTGTATTCAAATGAACTTTTCCAAATAAAAGAGCTTTTAGCAGTACAAAATGAATCTGTAGCGTACAAAAAACCAAAACATCATATGGCTCTGTCTAACTGGCATTAACGGATCCGTCAGAATTATGTGTCCTTTGCAGATATGGGGTATTTTGAAATATTACTAGATAATCAGCTGACATTCTACTGTAATGGAAATTCGTGAAAAAGTCTATAATCGGTACCTTGTGATCGGCACATTGCCCATCTCTACACCAACAATGGCGCCCCACTGGTCAAGAACGATATATAGCCATTTATAGCCCAACAGATATAACATGGAAGCACAGTATAGTGAAACAATATTTCCTATGTTGTGATGGAACTATTTTTTAAAAACCAGAAAAGATAGTTGTCTCACAATGCACGATTTATTATAAGAGATATATAAGAGAAAAAATATTTAAATTTTTAATTGAAAATTGAACCAATGAACGGTGAGTGAGGTCACTCCCCCTCTCTGTCCCCACCACAATTTTCCTAAGCGTCATTTGACGGCGTCGCTTTTTTGTTTGTGCTTTGTACCGCATGAAAGCTGGTGAAAATTCGTATTTAAAGTCTTGATCGTTTATTTTTATTTATAAAGAGTAAGTATCTAACTTACCTTATCTATTCTGCAAAGTTTTAATATATGCAAAAGGCAGCGTTGCTATGGGATGTTGACGAAGAACCTATAAACTAACCCAACGCTTTAACGGTTCCACATAAAGCGTGTGTTTACATTCTTATATATAATCATATTCTCCATTTAACGAATTTATTTTTGTTGTAGCATGGTTGGGAAATCGAAATCTGGTGAGAAAAGCAGCACTGAAAGATCTAAAAGTCCAGGGAGGCCAAAAAGTCCTAGCAGAAACAAAAGTCCAGGGAGGCCCCCTAAGAGTCCTCCCAAAGCGAAAAAAGATGTACCTAAAAGGCCTGGTACACCTACTAGACTTGTTAGCAGAACAAAGAGCCCTGCTAGACCTAAGACTAGTTCCCCACCAACAACTTCAACCCCTATTCAGGTGCCCAAAAAACGAAGCCCAATCCGCAAGTCACCATCAAGAGGTGGTGGTAAGGAATCTGAAGAAAAAGGTAAGCTGCCTCATAACAAAATTAATTTTTACTCATTCAATATGCCACTTTTATTATCATTTGAATAAGTTGCCAGATAATTTAGAATCTCTCACTATAGGGATCTCAGAAAATGTAAGTAATTCAAAGCCTATTAAATCAAGGCAAAGTTGTACATTTAGGTGGCTAAGGTAATGCCATTTAAAGAGTTTTAAAATCAGAGTACTTCTGGAAATATGTGACATTTATGGATATCTTTATGTTTTTCTTATTAATGCCATATTGGATTTTTGCATAAGTGAATAGTTTTTTATTCTTATCTCAAAAATGTAATACATTGACAATGTGAAACTTCAGTTATTTATTCTGTAGTTAGTTTTGATAATGAAGGTTAATGCTACTTTATTCAGTTATGTCACCAATTAAATATTGCTTCAATTATTGAGAGGTGCGTTTAAAGGACATTTAGATAATTTGCTCCTTTATTGACTATAGCAAACATTTTTTGTACAATGTAGCCTCAGTCTTACATGCATCAGCTTATGTATGATGTATGTATGTATGGATAGCAAATGCGTTTAGTAGCCTGCAACATTATCGAAGCTTTTACTTTGCTCTAAAATGCTCCAACATATTTTTAAAGCATTATCGTTTTCACTGCATCCATTACCTCTAAATGATATGAAGAAGTTCACTTGGCGATTTAAAACCAATTATGGAAGATTACTTTTTTAGACATTTGAGGTTTTAAAAATCCAACCCATATCTTGTTATGTACATCAACAGAAACAGGAACTGTTTATTTGTTCTTGGTTTTTAATAAACTGAAGAAATGTTGATGATGATATGAAACAGGTCTGATAATTTTTAAGCCTACTTAGGAAATACTGTTTCTTGAAATAATTATAGTACAAAATTTAATGTATGAAATACATTTTTGAAAACAATTAAAAACTATTTTCACCTGTGGCATCCATAAGAAAAAATAAAGTTGATGAATGTTAAGAGACAAAACATCACTTTGAAATTCTAACTATGCCACCTTGTAGAGGAGAAAAAATGTAATAATAATGTAATCTAGAATTCCACATTAAATAAAGTCAGAAAAAATTAATGAATATATGATGCTGCATAGAAATTTGAAGATATTTGAATACTGATCAAATTATGGTCTGTCTGTTGATTAAAATTGAAGCTAGCAATGTGACTAAAATAATTAATTGAAATAAAACTTATGCTATGCTATATATACAGTAATGGACAAAAGTATATAGACAAATATGAATATTTACCTAAATACCTGAAAATGAATTCATACTTCATTGCTCCATAAACAAATGCGTTATTAGTCAAAAAACTAAATTCCTTGTTTTTACATTATCTGCAATGAACACAACACAAGTCTGAATATAAGCATTTTTTTTATGAGGGACAAAAATATGTAGACAAATTCTTTTCAACATTAGTTTAGTACAGTTTCGTGTCAGAAGAGGATTAGTTTGTGTTAATCAAGTATTGTGGAATAAATTGAGTGATTTTAAGACCATGCTGCGAGGTCCAGAAATTTCTTTCGATGTGAAAACTAAGATCATTGCGTTATACAAAGATGGTCAAGGTCAAGTCGACATTGCCAAAAATTTGAAGCTGAAACGTAAAGCAGTTTGGGCAATATTGAACAAATATAAGCAAAAAGGTATCTTGTAAGCCTCTAAGAGAAGTGGTCATCCTAGAAAACTAAATGCTAGATCAGTTAGATTAATAAAAGAAATTTCGTCCAAAGATCCTTTTAAAACCCCAAGACAAATAAAAGCTGAAATTGAGACAAAAGGAATTGTCAGTGTTTCTATGAAAACTATAAGTAGAAGATTAAATGATTTGAAGTTATTTGCACGTCGCCCGAGTAAGAAGCCGCTGCATGGTTGCATCTTGATTGGAGCATCTGTGACTGGAAGAGGGTATGTTTCAGTGACGAATCCAAGTTCAATATGTTTGGATCAGATGGTGTTCATTATGTTAACCGTCCTAGTGGACAAAGATTGAACCCCAAGTACACTTTGCCCACTGTCAAACATAGAGGCGGGTCTGTTATGGTTTGGGGGTGCTTTTCGGGGTTTGGGATGGGACCTTTACATAGAATAGATGGCATTATGGATAAGTTTGTATACACAGACATACTAAAGCATGTCATGTTACCCCTATATGGAAGATAATGACCCGAAGCACACTTCAAATCTCGCAAAGAAATGCTTTCTGGATGAAAAAATACCAGTTCTCAAATGGCCTTCACAGTCTCCCAATATAAATTGAAAATCTATGGGAATACTTAGATAAGCAAATACGAGATAAAAATTATTCAAACAAGGATGAACTTTTTGCCGCTTTAGAGCAAAAGTGGAAACAGATTGATGAATCTTATATGAAGAAACTTCTACAATCTATGCCGAGACGATGCCAGGTGGTGATTGATAATAATAGTTATGCTACAAAATAATAACACACATTAACATTGTTGGTTTTCTATAATTCAATGAACTTTGCTTCTTTTTTCTATAATTGTTTTCCTTTTTCTGTATATTTTTGTTCTTCACTAGTTTTTTTAAATTAATTTTTTATTGAAGGGAGTCTAATGAATTTATTTATGTATAAGTGACTATTATGCTATAACGAATTTTGTATACAGGTTTAATAAAACAAGTTAAAAAAGAAATACAACACAGTATTAATTTGTCTATATACTTTTGTCCATTACTGTACATAATAATGTCTTTTATAGATCTTAGACCAAGAAGACAAAAAACCTACATTGATACTGATACTGACTCGGATACTCAAGAGATTGTGCCTGAAGTAAAAGAAAAACCAAAAGCTGCAGTTAGGGGTAGAGCAAGAAAAATGGATAAGGAGAGTGACATTGATGAGAAGGTGAGGCTTTCTGTGGAGATGCTTTCAACATGTTTCTCGATCATTATTGTAATGAAAGGTTCAAGTCTGTATCATTCTGTTTAGATATTTCAAAATTAACAGTTGGTATATTGATTTTTCTAAAATTTAATGGGAATTGTATTCTAAACTCCATGAATAAGAACTCATTACCTACAATATTTTACTCAACTTTACAACTTTTGTGTTTCCAACTTTTGTAGATGATGTACATTATTCATAATTAAACAGAAAATTTTTCCGTGATATAGTATAAAAAAGTATGTTGCAAAATATAAAAAGCATTTTTCTCTATTTGATGATTACCTATTTAGTAACACTATGATAAACCATGTCAATTTTAATCCACTGTAAATATTATGTATGATGAAATGTTTCATGCCTTCTTCAAATCTCGGTTCTATGTAATCTAAAACTAATATCCAAGGTATTAATTACTGTTTGCTCAGAGTCCAAATATATACAATACTGGTGACCTACTTTACCTTTTTCCTACTTTTTATAATGGATGTTTCAAAATAGAAAATACCATTTCTCTTGTACTACTAGGTCGGTTTCTTGGAACACTGCCAAAATCAGCATAAATAATCATGTTGTTATTTCTGTTGTTTTTTTTTTACCGCCACTAATTCGTTTTGTGTGCAATGAATTTATCCTGCTTATAGAAACAAAAGTATGACACCCCCATTTTCTAAAAATTACCCAAGCATTGTGAAAGATTTTTTTATATAAAGTATAAATATCTAGAGGAATCTAATAAAAAAACGGAAATCAAGTATATTTTGAATTCACATATGAATTCTGAACCACAGATATTTTTGAATTTGCACAAAAATTTGTGGTGGATTGATGAAATGCTAAAAAAATATTTTGGTAAAGTTTAACCACTTAACAATCCTATATATCATTAACCACATCTGCAACTTGAAAAATGAAACTAGTTTACTTTTAAAGTTCCTGACATTTTTTTCTTAAAAATGTTTTCCTTCCAAAACAAATTTTGGACTACATTCATAAATTCATAAAATATCTGAAAATGTTCCGCGCGACTATTAGACTCATTAATTTTCATATATCTGATGCAGTTGGTCTCCAGTTTGCAGCTGAGTTATCCATTGTAATCTTCAGAATATTGATCTAAAAATTATGTATCAGTTGTTTTAAATTCGACTATCACCATTGTGATCTCTCTCGGAAAGATATGGGAAGTCGATTAAATGTGGGCAAAGCTGCGCACTGAAGTAACTGTAACTTTTCTCTACATATGAATGAATCTTAAAATTAGAGGCATCCCGGCCACCATAAGGAGCCAGTGCATAGGCCGCTTAAGCGGGCCCTTGTGCACCTCTACAATACTTATATCACAAGCCTCGCCCTTTTAGCGAAGTTGAGAATCGCGTTGAGTCCAAGCTCCTTGACGTGCGCCGAGGTCTCTTCCTCTACTCCGCAGCGTTCGCACAAGGGATCCTCAGCCACCCCCATCACGTGCAGGTGATGCCTTAACGTGTTATGGCCAGAGAACAGTCCCACCAGCAACCTTAGGTTGGCTCTACCCAGAGATAGGCAGAAGCGTCCATCCTTAGCACTAGGCCCTTCAATGAGCTCTCGTGCCTGGCGGAGTTGTCTAGAGATACTTCTCCATTTCTGAGTGTTCTCTTGCAACCCACGTCTCCATTTTCCTCCTAGCTTTATGCGCGGTTACTCCTAGAGCTGGCTCAGGACCAACGAGCTTGCTGGCTGATCCTGTTTTCGCCAGAGTGTCCGCCGTCTCATTGCCCCTTATCCCAGCGTGCCCCCATATTAACGATACCGGATGCCTCGCTGCGAGGCAATCCAGAGCCTCCCTGCATTGCAATACAAGACTCGAAGTAATCTTACAGGCACTTAGTGCTTTCATTGCAGCCTGGCTGTCGGATAAGATTGTTATTCTTCTCCTAGGCCCACCCTCCTCCAGAATGTGAGATACACAAGCCAGAATCGCAAAGATTTCCGCCTGGAAAATGGTGGTGTATCCACCGAGAGGCAGAGATAGCCTAGTTCTAGGCCCAGAGACCCTCTTCGGTGACCGAGCCGTCCGTGTACCAGACCTGCCCGCTCACTTCGGAGAGTCCCCGGCTACCGGCGTCCCACTCCTCCCTCGTTGGACACTCCACAATAAACTTGCGGTTGAAGCGATATTTAGGGGTAATACGATCACCCCTGCTTGGAAGGACGGGGTCCTCCCTTTCTAATTCGACTAAGATGGCAGTATGCCCCTTGACAGGATTCAAGAAAGCCCAGCTGCCCTGACTCCACAGTCGATGAGCGACTACTCTCGCTTCACCGCGGATCACCATATCCAACGATGGGAGATCCAACAGAGCTTCCATTGCACTCAATGGCGTTGTTCGCACTGCGCTTGTAATGCTAATACAGGCCAAACGCTGAATTTTATTGAGTTTGGCCTTAGTTGACTCAGTTCTAATGCAAGGCCACCAGACCAGGGAGCCGTACATAACCGCCTCACTCTGTACGAGACCCAGATAAAAGCTAGCATGTTTAAGGTGCTGCTGCCCCGACTCCATTGTCCATGCTTGATACTGTTCATCCTATGTCGAAATTCGTACATCAAGAACTTGCCGGTCCGACCGCTTCTTTCCTCCTAGACTGCGGAACAATGTGTCGGATGAGACTTTTCCCAGTGCTTTGCCTTAGGCAGTTCAAAAATGGGATTAGCAAGGTGTTTTTGAGATCCTTATAGCAATCGAGGTGCCCGGGTATTTAGGCTTCTGCCCCTGCGGCTGCTTTGGAGTAAGAAAATAGTACTTAGAAAGGTTCGGAATTCAGCGCAGTTCTGGAGGCTAATTTTATTTATGTGATGGGATTTTAAAATAAATTGCACATTGCCATTGCGACTTTTCAGTATTTCTATGTGACATTACAACTTTATTTTTTCTTATAGACACCATATTGGGTTTTTCCGCTGGCGAATAGTTTTTAATGCTGACACCAAAAATGTACATTGAAATTATCAGAAAGTCATTAGTTTCATGGTATTATTAGCCACGTATTTTTCCAGTGTTAAAGGATAAGCATGTTTAAAGAGTCTATTTCCATTTCTTATGATGTCTACATACATAATGTACATTGATATAATAAAAGTCAAAAAAGGTAATCTTCCTATAGTTGGCATTCACTTGTCAAATTAAGAACAACATAAAGCTAACTTTTCCTATAGTTGGCATTCACTTGTCAAATTAAGAACAACATAAAGCTAACTTTTTCATACTATTTAAGGGTAGTAATATTGAAAACAGTATAATTTTAATAAACATTTTGCAGGTTGGTAAACGCATTTCGTATTGGCCATTCGCATACATCTTGCAGTCAAAGTAATATTAATTAATGGCTGAGGTGACACATAGAGTGGCTTCATTGTGGTAAAAAGTGGTAAATGGGCAAATTATCTGAATGTTCTTTAAACATATCTATCGAAACCTGATGTAATATTTCATTGCTTTTTAAACATATAAGCTGTAATTTACAAGGCCAATTATGAAATGTTATACATTTATTTTTTTAAACATCTGCAATTGCAATGTATGACATGTTATGAGAAAAGAAATAAGAACTCTATTCAGCTGGAGAGGAGAAAAAATGTCAGTGTTAGTGTGCTCTTTATTTTGAAGTCCATCAAATAATCAGGAAAAAAATATGTTTTTATTTTGAAAATATATTGTTTCTACGCGCCATTTTCTTAATTACCTAATTGCGCAACTTTGCCCCCATTTACCCGACTTCGTCTCTCTATTTCCGAGGTCCCAGTGAGAGTCAAATTTGCAACGGTTAAATTCTTTAAAGGTTCGCTCGCTTATTAGCACGTCTTTCTGAAGCATCCTATATACAGGGTGGTCCATCCAATGTGGACGAAATATTACTCATAAACATACATTTTTCAAAATCTATTTAAGGATGTTATACATGACATTTCTAAAATATTGGCAATTATACAGGGTGTCCCAATTTTGACCTACATATCAAAGTTGTGATTTTTCAGATGGATTGTCTCCAATTTTATTGCATATTTGTATAAACCAATTCAAAAGAAGAACATTTATATAACATACTATGGGGTTTTGGTAATCAGCTACTGAGATGTAAGGTGTTTTGTCTAGAAAAACCGTCCACTTCGGCAACACCTCAATCCGCCATTTTGAAATTTGGAGTGCTGAATTTTGTATCAAAAAAAACTTACACACATCAGCTTTTATCTTATTTGTTACTTTTTCGGTCAAAAACGTGAATTGTACTTTTTCACAAAAATTTCAAATGCATCACCCTGTATATTCGTGCAAGTTTGGATTCTATTTTTATAAGCTTTTTTGGTATAAGGTTTGATTCAGATAAAATCGCTAGATTTTGAGTTATTAAGCTTTTAATAGAACAACACACCGAAATTAAGGAAAAAAATCACATCATCCATGGAAACAAAAGACAAACAGTGGGCTAGTTCCATATTGCCACTAAGAGTACACAAACAACTATCACTACTCAAGACCTAATATACAAAAACTGCTCGAAAATATCTCCACCATGTTGAATACACAGCTGCAGTTTTTGGATAAATGACCAGTGCACATCTATCAGCATATGTTCCCTTATGTTCAAAAAGCGTCCTTAATCCTTTTCTTCATATTTTCCGTGGTAGATGGTGGATATTATAAACCTCTTGCTTAATGTAGCCCCATAGAAAGAAGTCCATCAGTGTCATATCTGGTGATCTAGGAGGGTAAGATAAAGGCCCATCTCGACCATCCAACGATTGTTACTCCAGGTGTCCAAACTGTTACGTACACGATTATGATAATGCGCAGGTGCGCCGTCATGTTGGAAGTACAAATGCATCCGAGTTTGCAGGTTGACATCCTCCAAAAGCAAAGGCAAATCCTCGATCGAAAAATTCAAGTATTCTGTACCTGTTAATCTGTTGTCGAAAAAGAAAG